AGTATATGCATGCAAAATATATTTTGGAGACAAACTGCAACCAAGCTGTGTGATTTGCATTCTTGGTTTGAATTCTGGTTTGTTGTGCCAGTCAGTTACATGTCTTCAGCATAACAATTCCTTTTCCTGTAGTCAGCTGGACCTGCTCACAGCCCTTGTAGCAGGGAGCTTCTCTTCTCATAAGCCTTCATTCTTTTTTTAACATTTGAATTCTTTGGAGGAAAATTGCAAGGTAGCTGAGAGGTCAACTAACTTAAAAATACAAGTTATTTATTACTGCAGCCATGGAATGAAGGAAACAATTTTCCAGGGCAGCTTACCTTCACACTCACGTGTAGCTTCAAGACTCTTAGCTCACTGCCTTAAAAGATTGATCTCGATGTTATGATGCTTTTAATCAGTATTGTTTGCTGGGGATTAGAGGCCTCATCACAAATCCTGTCTCCTCCAGGGCCAGGTGTGGCTAATGCTGTCCCACATATCTGTGCCCCTGTAGCAGCCCAGTGAAAGTCTGGAGTGAGATCCAGGCATGAAGAGCAGCTCTTCGCACATGGCCTGAGGGCTGAGCTGCCCTTCGGGTGGCAGTGTCAGTGCTGCTGGGTTGTTGGAATTCAGAGCATCCCTCTGGCTGTCCTGGACAGCCAAGACCCCTGCCAGGGGGCTCAGAGACCCTGGCACAGAGCCCAGGAGCCCTATGCCTTTGATCTTGACCCATGGAGCAAATTACCAACCTTATATGAGGATCTGCAAGCCATGACAGTTTAAGTAAAATTATAGTGAATTTACCACGAGGTGAAAAATAGATTTTTAGAGTGTTCAGAATGGGGGTTCAGGGAGCAAGATGGAGGAATCTGGTCATAGCCCAGATTTAGCCAGTTTAGCCCTTCTCCTTCTTCTTCTTGGCCTCCATCTTCTGCTGTTATGGTGGCACTTTTGGATTGGTTTAGAGTAGAAGCTCACTGTCTAACATAGGTGATAGGTATTGGGAAGTAATTGTAAATAGTGTACATGTAGTTGTTTTTGTATAAAAAGATAACACGACCCTGGGGGTGGGCAGAGTGCCTCTGGCTGTCCTGCTGAGCAGGCCTTGACAGGTCAGGAGAAAGAATTTTATAGATAAGAAACAATAAACAACCTTGAGAGCGAGAAATGAAGAGCTCTGACTCCTTCTTCGAGCACCGGGCTGGGAAAAGAAACTTTCTAACGCATCTCGGGGTTCACTCTGACCAGCTAAAGTCTTGAGACTGGGTCTGCTCAGCAGTTCTTCCTCATGCTGGCAGGACTGCCTGCTTTGTTGTTTTTTCATTTTGTAGCTGGTCTTCAAAAACTAAATCCTGGAAAGATCATAATGCTAAACCTGCCCAGCAGCTTCAATCATAACTCTGAATAAGTGGGCTCATGGCAATTTATTATAAGCTCTCATGTAGCAATTTTTTCCCCATTCTCTCTCTCCTTTAAAATCTCTATAATTATAAAATCAGAGTAGCATTTCTAGTTGAAAAGCTTGGTGGTCAATTTTTTGGTCCCTCTGCCTCTCATTTTGTTTCATTTTCTGTTTAGGTGTGAAGGAATTGCTATTTTAAATCTTAGCCAAAAGTTGTTTCATTTATTGTCAGCATATCTAGGTAATGTATTTGACACAGACACTGGCAAGTTTCTGGAAGGACAGAAAGGAAAGAAAGTGAATTATTTTAAAAAGTAAGTTATAGTTATTACCTGAAGCTTCCAGTCAAGTCCTGTTTTACTTTGGTTTTGTGCCTCCAACTTTTGTCTACAGTCTCAGAATGCTTATAATCTAGTTAATGAAAACCACATTTTTTCTTTATGGGAGTTCTCCAGAATTTGAGAAACTTCGAAAAACTTCTCTCACCTACAGATAGCTGAAAACCCATCACAGGGTGGGTTCCACCTTCAAATTAGAAGAAGGTCAGTCACACTTTTTAGCCAACTTAAATGCACTGAGAGGGTGGTGTCTTTTCATCTTTTCAGCTCCTTGGGTGGCCATGTCAAGTCAAGATGAGAATTGGCTCCCTTTTTGATGTTCCTGAAGGAGAGGTGGAAGATAGCATTGTGCTTGTCTCTTTCTTTACATGAGTGTGATTTGAACCACACTGAATAAATTCTGTTGTTCTCTCTTTGTGTGTGAAATTGCAACTCTCTTCTAACTGTAAAACAATGAAGATATTTATGAGAAAGAGAGAGAACAGTTTTGTTTCAGTCTTTCTTAGCCAGTCCATTAATTTACTCTTGAGCACCCTATAGGTAAGGACATCTGAGGATGGTTCTTGTGTTGAGCCCTGGATTTGTTATCCTGCAAAGCAATCCCCTGCTTTACAAACTGGCCAGCTGGAATAAACCAGACAGTGACAAGATGGACTGTGTGTCCAAGGTGGTGCAGGGGGACTGTGTTGGCAAGCAGCTCACCCAGGCTGAGGGTGTGGTTTCCTGGACACAGCTGACAGAAGTGTTCAAATAGCAGTTATGGTAGATGTTTGATTGGAGGTTTTAATCCCTACCTGTGTGTCAGAGCTAACACAGTCTGACTGTGTGGATGGAAGAGAATACAGAAGGAATTTGCACTGTGTTGTCCAACTTGTTGCTCACCTCCATGGAAGCAGCTAGATAGGAGGGGCTCGAGAGGACAAAATGTGACTCCTTATCCCCATCTCATTTCCTCCTTTTGCAGAATACATGGCTGTGTTGACAGCTTAGGTCTAATTAATGGGCTTGGAGCCCACAGATGGCACAAAGCCTTTGCTACTGGAATTCAGTGGGGTGTCTAATTCCAAATGAAAGGACACTCAGAAAATCCTTAATCTATTGGGAGCCGATTGGAATGACTGTTTATATGGGAGCAGCTTGTATTCAGGCAAGACACTGTCTCATCACATTTATTTTAAACTTGTTTAAGAGCATTAAGGAAAATTATCTTCAATTACTTGCAACTGGAAAGCCAGTCCTTTGCCTGTTGGTATTTGAAAACTCTAGGATTAGACAGTGTCCCTGCAATGTATTTGCAAGCTATTGCTGTGGCTTCAGTGGTTGCTGAGAGTGTGCTGAGGGTTTACCCCAGCCACAGGGAGTAATCTCATTGCAGGATTTTTGCCCCACAGTGTGGCACCTGGAGTGAAAGGTATGTAGGATACAAATGCCCCCAAAAGAAACCTGAGCAAGTGATATTCCTTAGTGTAGGCTTCTGGGTTTGAAACCAGACTTCAGTCTTTTCCTGGATGCCTAGCTCTTACAAGTGGGATGGTACAGAGAATATTACAGATGTTATTCTGCTTCAGGAAGCTTATTAGTACTCCAGCAGGAGCCAGAAATCCCAGAGCAGGATTATGGCTGCATTGCCTGAGGTTTGTGCAGAGGCCAGATGGAAATGTGGTCTCTGCCTCAAAGTGTTTGCAAGTTAAACTCGAGGGGGGAATGTGAGATGGTGCATGGATGTTTGTCAGTTTGGCTATTTGTTTCTGATTAATAGAGATGCATATACTGATTGGAAACATGGACAATACTTAATACTTATCTGTAAAACGCACTAATTTGTAAACTGCCTAGACGCTGAAGGGGTGCTAGAACAGTAATATACTACTGACAGTTAATAATTCAGAGTTTGGGGACTTTATTGTTCTCTGCTCATGCATACCACATGAGCTACAATGCTAATCTCCATGTCATAAACCTGGGAGCATGGCATGGAAATGAGAAATGTCTTTGTATCTGTAGAGTTCCATAACAGAGAAATGGTCTCATCTGCTCTGATAAACTAAAATTCAGGGTGAAGAAAAGGACTTTTTCGGCATGGTTCTATCCAGTGTGCCAGACTCAGCTGAGCTTTAAGGGTGGTGCTGTATAGGAAACAGTTCCTTTAGGTTGTTATTTGTAAAGCCTTTGCATCTAAGAAAAATGTCCATCTCTTGGTTGAATAAAAATGTTTCCATATGTGATCTATGTGTTAAGTTTTACATATGCACATTTAAACAACTTTGGAATTTTGAAAACAAAGCATAGAGAAGAAATAACAGCAAGGTACTGGGTTTGGCAGCCCAGAGCTAACTTTAAAGCTGATTGAAGAAAATGGCATTCTAGACATAGATTCAGTCTCTGGTAAGGGCTTGATTGTGATATCAGGACTTTCCCGGAATGCAAAGCATTTCTCTGCTGAACTGTATGTGTGAGTAATGAAATCAGATTAAGGCCAAAAAGCAGGTTTGTCTGCTACTCCACCAGTATGGCATTTGGTATGAATTATTTTTGATTTTGAGCCTTTTAACGTTGTTCTTTTCCAGGATACAAGGAAAATCCTATCAGTCTTTCTCTCTTTGAGGTATCCTGGGTCACAGAGTTGTCCTTGCTTGAGTATCATGAGACCAACTGCTCTGACTGGCAAAAAGAGCCTGTGCAAGGTTGGGAGGTTAAAGTAGGCAGTGTAGTGTATGATGTCAGACCTTAATTCTCAGGCTGACTGTTCAGAGCTGTCCAGATCTTTCTCAGTGAACATGTACTGTACAGTTAGGGCTTGACTTATTTAGTAGCATATTCTTTTGTCATCATCCTGCCTTGTTTTTTGAATTATGAATGCAGTTGCAATTTCTGAAATGTATTTTAAATTCTGTGTAAAGGTGAACCTGAAGGAATTGTTACTGACCGAGCTTATCAGACTTTGATCAGTGGCACCCTCTTTCTTACAACTTAAGCTCCACCTCTACTTCCTATGAGGACATTTGCCATAGTATTTTGATTTTATAGGTTTTCTGAAAATCCAGTTCATTGATCAAATGGCAGTTTCATTCAGTGTTGTTCAGGGAGAGAGGTAATATGAGTGTGGAAGGTCCACCACATCTTCATTTCAGTCGCCTCAGTCCCATGTAGATGTCAGGTTGCTGTTTTCTGTGTTAATGTGCTGACAAACTCACAACATTGGGACAATAACAGCCTGTCCACCTGTGCCACAGAAGCATTCCTGCCGTACTAACACCAGACCTTTCTTGTGCCTGTAGTGTGCCAGGAAACAGTCTGGGAGGTCTTCAAGACGTTCTGGGACAGACTGCCAGAGCGGGAAGAATATAACACGTGGATGAGCCTGTGTGAGGAGGGCATGATGAGCATCTTTGAGATGGGCACCAACTTCAGCCAGTCTGAGGAGCACCGGAGCCTGATCGTGAAGGTTGGTACAGCAGCTGCTTGGCAGACTAGTCTGTGATAAGGGAGACCAAATGCTGTCACCTCTTTGCTCCACAAAATGTCACAAATCTCCCTGTTCTCATGGGCAAGGGGACTGTGTCCCACTGCAATGTGCACCTGGCACATTGCAGTAGGACATTTGGCAGTGATGGACAGAGCCCTCAAACAGGCAGTAGAGTGGGTATTTCAGCTCTGGGATCTGTAGCTCTGAGATCAGTTCCAAAACAAAGTTGTGGGTGATCCAATGCAGAGAAAAGCAGCAATGATGAAGAGATGTCATTAATAGATGTGTTCCTGACAAGTAGATGGTGTTCAGACCCATGACAGAGCCAGGTTGTGGTGCCTTTTCCCCTGGGGTGTGTAGCAGCCTCCCTGCTCTGAGCTGCACATTGAGGTGCCTTCAGCACAAATGGCACTTGGGAGCAGGAAGTTCTGAGCTGTATCTCTACCCAGCCCTCTGCCACATTGCCTGTTGGATGTTCTACAGGTCTGTGATGTCTGTGCACTCCTGCCTGACTGAAATGAGTGTAGTTATAAAAAATGTAATACCTGTGGTGTCCTATGAAGTTAATTGTGGCAATTTGCAGACAGTCCCAACATGGGAAGAGACGAGAATCTCGACTCCATGTTTCAGAAGGCTGATTTATTATTTTATTATATATATTATATTAAAAGATAATGATATACTAAAACTATACTAAAATAATAGAAGAAAGGATTTCATCAAAAGGCTAGCAAGGAATAGAAAGGAATGGAATGATAATAAAATCTTGTGATTGACCAGAGAGTCCGAGACAGCTGGGCTGTGATTGGCCATTAATTAAAAACAACCACATGAGACCAATCAAAGATGCACCTGTTGCATTCCACAGCAGCAGATAATCATTGTTTACATTTTGTTCCTGAGGCCTCTCAGCTTCTCAGGAGAAAAATCCTGGCAATGAGATTTTTCAGAAAATATCATGGCTACAGGTAATAAATAACATGAGGTAATTTGCAATGGGAAGCTGCAGGTTAAAATCAGCGTACAACAAGGGTAAAATGAGTCAATAAAAATGCAGACTATCTCAGTATGTTTTCTGTTGATTCAAGTTTATTTTAGCTTAAAGAAAATAAAAGAAATATTAAGTCAAACTAAAAAAGCCTCTCTCAAATGAAATACAAAGATGTAATTTCAGGAGTTTGTGAATTTTAAAATAGAGTGCTTAACTTTGTATTCATCTAAGGCACAGTAGATATCTTAATTTCTCTGGATAAAAGGCTTCTTAAAATGTATTTGCCTCACTTAAAACCCTTTGCCAGGTATCTTTAAGATTACTTTTGCAAGCTAATGAATAGTTTTATGAAACTTGTAAGTTTTAAATGTGTAACCCCATAGAAGCAGTAAGTTCTGTCAGTGTGGATGCACTGATTTTTTTTTTCCTTCCTGCTTTTTTATTGGACTTCTATGCTAGGAATGTTCACTAAGGAAGGTGAATATGGAAACTGTTGTGGATAATGGAGAGAAGGTTTTTTTCCCTGAGCCTGCATGTTAGTCTTAGCAGATGCTAGCCAAAGTTTGCTTCTGTGAAGTCTGGTGGTGTTGTTGCCCTTAGAAGTCTTTGCAAAAAGATAGAGAGAAATAAAATGAATGTGATTTTTTAATGCACACAGTGCATGTAACTGTTTTGTGTTCACAGTAAGATGATCTATAGTGGGAGTTTAAAAGAAATCAAAATTACTCTTGGAAAGAAGATGATGCATCTAATTTCCCACTGCTGCTCTCCCCTTTTGGGTATGGCTCTGCAGCATTTAAGTGGAGTCAGATAAAGTGCTCTGGGTTTGATCTTTTCAGAAGGTTTATATTTATTTAGGTTTCCTTTCTCCTGTAGGTGGATATATTGCCCTCCTGTAGGTGGATATATTGCCTTCAGCAATACCATGTTCTGAAAAATATTCTGTTCATTCTTCTACTTTCTTTCAGCACAGGTGGTAAAGGGTGATGGCTTTTGGGCTGATTTGATAGCAGACTAGTCTGTGATAAGAGTGACCAAATGCTGTCACCTCTTTGCTCCACAAAATGTCACAAATCAGTCAGGTGACTTTTTGGAATAAGAAGCTGAACTCAATTTGACTTTGAACCAAAGGCTGAAGTCAAGAGCACCCTATGCCCCAATCAGTCACTGTCAAAAGATCCAATGGTACTTTTAAATGCATGGGTCAGAGAGTGGATTTGATTGCTAGCTCTAATACTGACTCACTTTTCTCACAGAGGCTTGTGCACAAAATTCTTGTCAGTGTGTGAAACCTTTTTAAAGCAGCTGTGAGTGTGTTAAGTCCAAACAGATGCAGTGGATACATCTCTGCTTTTAAGAACATCCTCCTTCCTGCTAGCTGCTAACCCAGTCCAATGTGGTGATAAGAGCTGGGGCACAGCCTGTGGGACCAAACACACTTTCTGAAACCCTGTGCCCAACCCCCTTGTTCTTTCCACTCTCACCTGCTAAGAAGACCAAGCTGTATGGTCAAGCCTTTCCATTACTAGTGGGATGTTGTTTCCCTCACATTGCAGACTGTTCATTCATTTGGTCATGATCTGCTGTTTTTTCCCCCCCATTCCTTAGGTTTGATCTCTAAAGCACAGAGCCCTTGTCACCAAGGGGCTGCTGGCATTCACTGCACAGGACTCTCTTGTGGGCAGGTGTGGATGGGCCACACTCTTGCTCAAAAGGAAGATTCTCTTCTGCAGTGGTTTTTTTTGTTTGACCATTACACTCCTCATTAAATACTACTTGTTTCTAATCTTCCTCTGCTCTCCAATGTCTGCAAATCATCTGTGGTTAATTTCAAGAGTTTAGTTGAGAGCCTGCAGCCGATGAAATTCTGCTTTTCTGATGGGAAGGATGAAAGTTTGACAAGAAAGTTTAACAGATATGTATGCTTGGCAGAAGGATTTTTGAATGTAGAACCTGAGAATGAATAGAGAGCAAAGGATAAACCCACCTCAAACAAGATGTTTTTACCAAGTAGAAAGATTCCACAGGCAAACAAGCCTGCCAATGTTGCAAGTAGAAAAAAGGTCTCAGAATTTTCTACTGCAGGAAAACTGAATAACAACTTCTAGCTTAAACTGTAATGTACTAACTTTTAGTGATTGGAGAAAAGTAACATGAATATGGTAATTATAGTAGTTATGGTAGGCTATAGGTAAAAGTTAAAGTATAGATTGGGCCTTCTGTATAAAATGCTCAGGAAAGAAATTAATGCTCAGCAAACACATTATATACATAATGTGTTGTAACCAAAACTAACCAGGCCTGCCTGCAGCTGGAGCTGACAGCTGTAGGCACAGGCCCTGTCACCCACAACCGGGACTGCTGTGACTCTTGGATGGAATAAACTGCATTTTGGAGAGCTGCCTGAAGTCCTGCATCCCTCATTCAGGCTCTTAAACTTTTCTTTTTGTATACATTGGCTGATATTGTCACAGCATTACTCTGTTGCCTCTTTTGTATAGGCATATTGGCAGATTCTGGCAATATTATTTCAAAGTGTATTTCTGTATTACTTTTTGGTAGATTGCAACATGAAATTTAAGTTTTAGAAATGCAGCATGTGCTGAATTTCCCCCCTCTCTCTCAAAAGAAGTTCAGTGTATCTGAAAATTAGGCAAATTAAATCTGTGGGGTTTGCATTTAACAAACAATAATTCAGCAAAATTATTGCTGTCATGATGCTTTTGTTGTAGTGTGGAGGGTCTGTTACCAGCAGTGTAATTAAATGCCATCTCATTAGCCTTCCTCCTTGTTTTTCTTTCTTATCCTTTCCTGTAATCCCCAGTAATCACTGTCACACTCCCATGGATGCTGAAATGTCTGCTCCATCCTAACTTAGAGAATTTTTCTCAGCATGAACTTTCTCTTCCTTTTAACATACTTTCTTATTGGACATCAGTTGAAGCTTAGACCAGCTTGTCTCAGCTTTCATACTTTTTTTTTGTCTTGGAGATGTGAGGTCTGCCTTTGTAGGTTTCCCTGTAATATCTGTATATACATGCATGCTCTGTATGTGCTTATACAGAATAAATTCTAAGTTTCTTTAAGCAGATCACCTGCCAGGTTATCAGAATGAGCAGGTGGACATATTCATGCCAAGCACAAAACAATATTTTAAATATCTTTTTTTCTCCCTTGGATTTTCATTTTAATTTGTGTGATCATGTTAACTGACAGTGCATAGAAAGAATACTATCCCAATTAATTTATTTGGATATTAAGTAGATTTACAAATTGTAAGATTGTTAACCCATGTTTTTTTTCAATTCCTGACTGAAATGCAAATGGAGGAGGTAGGGGTGGGGTTTTTTCCACTATAAATCTTCATGTAAACATTCCTTCCTATAAATTAACTTGGCTTGTGTTCCTTGCTGTGTAGCTGTATTCAGTTCATAGAATGTAACATCCATCCCATTCTACACTTTGAGACATATATGTTTGGAATTCCAGTACTGCCAAATTTGCCCTGACTCTGCCCTGTGATTGTGGCCATGTTCCCACTTGTGCTAGACAATTTTTGGACAATCCAAGTGAGGAGAAATGCAAACAAAAGTAAATATTGGTTTCCCAAGAACCATGGATGGCTTGCTATGAGATTGAAACACTACTGCCAAAGCAGCACAACCTGTGCTGCTCATAGGAGAATTTACAGCTGGCATACAGGACTCCTTCCCAAATCCATAGCAAAAAGCAGCTTAAAGCCTGATCCTGCAGGGCTTTCAGTGTAAAGTTTTGTGTGCAATCTGCATTTCCAATGTGGGCATGCAAATCACATCATAATTTCAATTTCCTCAGATTTCAATCAAATTTCAGAAAATAAAGTTTTGAGGAGCTGCTGTTCCTTACAGGTCTGATAACAATCTACAATGACAAGGGATGTTGAGAAAAGCTGTTATGAGAAATGAAGACTTAAGGGAGCCCATGCAATTTAATCTGTTGAGCAGATATTCAACCATACCTTCTGAGGGCTCCTGTACAAGCCCACACCTTTAACAAAGTATATCTGACAGTGTTGGGCAGATGGGACAACAGGAACTGGGTTATGAATCCTTCCCAAAGGAAGCAGGTCTGTGAGATTTTTTTGGTTGCTGGTGAGAGGGAAATATGTGCTCTGCCCACTCTGGTGTGTGTGAGAGCCAAGAGTTAAGCTGAGATGTAGTGTGGAAAGGAATTTGCAGCACAGCTTTCCCCGAGAATCAAAAGGCAGACAATTTCCCCAGGAATCCCCAAAACTGTGATGGGATGTGCTAACCTACCAAAAGAGCAATTTGAAAAGTTCCTGTTCCAAGATACAAACCCTTCAAGGTGCTGACTCAGCAGTACTTTTGTGTAGCATTGAATTTCCATGAGTAGCTGTATCTTCTTCACTGTGTTTGCACCACAAAGTGCTCAGTGACAGATTAGGGTGGGAGGGAAGAAGGCAACCCTGCCTGAGAATACCTGAATGGGTGGCATAACAAAGCACCTCCTTAGCATGTTGAAATGGGTACTTAGAATTGTAAAATGAGTGATTTTGCCTCATTTTCTGAATTCTGAGAGCCGTATTCGAAGGTGGGATGGAGCATCCCAAAGATATGAATTATTTGTAGCCCCTTACCCCCAGTGCTGCCGTTTGAATACTTCACAGAGGCAGATTATTTTGTATTCCTCAGGTTCCTGTGGAAGATCTCTTCTGCTGTCTCTCCTCTTCCCCTGTTGTGTGACCTTCCTTGCTAATCATTGTCTTTCTCTGTTTAATTAAATGTTCTGTTCTTTACATTGTTTTCTTTGCATAGACCACCTCCTTAACTTCTTCTAAATCTGGAAAAAATCAGATCAGATCTGCTCTTTCACATCCCCCATCCCCTCCTATGCATGCATGCAAAAAAAAAAAATTTCATTTGCCATCCTTTCAGCCATAGTCTCAGATTTCCTTCACCCCTTTTTCTCATCCATGCCCTTCCTGTTCTCTTATTGACTTTCATTCTTTGCATTTCAAGTTTTAGCTTCCTCTAGGTTAAAAAGAAAACTCTTTGCCATATATATATATTTAGTGTTCAAGTTGCACATAGTTGAAACAATATCTGTTCCACTAAACTGCTCCTGCTATTTCTCCTCTAACTCACTGTAGGCAGTATTTTTACCTAACCTGTCAGAGATGTTCCTTAAAGCACTGCTCCCTATTCTGGCCTTTCTCTATAGCTTCAGTTCTGGCCATTGTCCTCATTTCCTTGAATGATCCCCAGTGCTGTGGCCTTGCCTTCATGGCTCTGCCCTGCACCGTGGTGGGGAATCAGGACAGGCAGATAGAGAATCATTTCTTGGTATCACTTTCCTGTTGCAAATGAGGTGTATTGGTGGATTTAATCAAATATGCTTTGTACAGTACTACACAGATGGAATCAACTAATATGGGATTATTCCAGATCTCCTTGACATTTCCTTTGCCTTTTTCTCCTGCCTGGGATTCCCTCAGGATATTTTGTCTTTGCACATAATGATAGTCTCTTAGGATCAGGCAAGAATGTCCTATATAATTGCTTTTCTGCAGGATCATGAGTTGATAGAAGCTCATCTGGTTGGTACATGTGATTTGCTGCATTGTTGTAGCCTGTGTTTAATGTGTTTGTATTAATTAATCATAACTTTCCATTATGCAAATTAACTGTTGAGGAAGGCGAGCACCGGAGCAATGGACACAAAACTCAGCTTCCAGCATCAGGAGAATTGGTATAATAATGTCAGGAAGGTCTAACTTCAAGAGAACTCATTTTGCACAAAGCACCTGCCAGAGATAGTTTAGTGAATAAAAGCTCCCCTTAAGCTTTGTTGTGGCTGCTGCTGTTATGGAGAACTATTTATAGATCACTTCAAGTATTGAAAGGGTGAAGACATTCAATACTCTTTGCAATCTGTGTGCAGTAGGTAAATTTCTAACTCCATCTTAATGAAGGAACTGAGTCAGAAAGGTGAGGTGTTTTGGCAAAGGCTATTCTGTCCTAAATTATTAAACAGGCCAGTATTAGAACCCTTGGCTTCTAATTAGGGGGCAAAAGGGATGTTTACCATGGAATTCAAATATGTCATTGCTTGGCCCCACCCCAGGCTGGAAAGCAAATTGAATGATTGAGAGAGAGACGAAGAAGAGTCATGCTACAGACTATTGCAATGGGGGCTGCTAGTTTACTATGAAATTATATGAGAATTAAGTAATTTGATGCCTTTTTAAAAATGTGAATGTGGAGTCTGTGTTGTGTTTCTTATTCTAGACTTTGGCCATTAAAATAATAATTTGACATTTCAGGTTTGGTTCTTATAATTTGTTGAATAGGTGACTTGGAAATAATAAGACATATTGGTTAAGTCCAGGGACCCAGACTCAGGGAACTTGGGAGCCACCAGCTCCTCAGGCTGCCCTGCAACAGAGTTTTGGCCCAGGCACCCCTCACTGGGTCCCTGTTCCTTTCTCTGGGAAGTCAGGACTGCTCTGAGCTCTGCTCTCAGGGGCCTTTGAGGAGCAGTGAGTAAAGCTGCTGGGTGCAGACTAGCTCTAGGCATTGAAAAGATGTGTGAGGCCTCTAATACCTGGGGTTGGTTTTAAAGCACCTACAAATTGTCCTGACTGGCCGAGTGTGGAAGAAATCTCCTTTTCTAGTGAAAAAACATTTTTTACGGAGCTACTACTTAGAGATAACTTTCATAAACCTTGTAGAGAGGGAATCCATCTCTATCTTCCTTGTAGATGCCAGTGCACTAGGAGTGAATATATAGGCAGCATAATTAATATATAGATCAGCATAATGAGCCCTTAATTAAAATACCAAAAGTCCAACACAGCTGTGGTGGCCCCAAGTTAGTTTCCATTGTTGACTGCCTGTTTTCTTTGTCACTTAAAACTAGTCTTGCTGTGTCTTAGTTTTTTCACACTAAAGAATCACCAAATGCTTCATTAAATGGAGTTATATAATAAATGTTGACAAAAGAACATGCTGAAAGGCAAGCTGGCTGAAATTGGTATTTTGGTAAGCCCTGCTGGGGCTGATATGCAGGCTGTCTGCCATTCTAGCTGTGATCACAATGCCCTCATGTCCTAGAAAGAAGAGAAGGCTGCTCACTGACATGGTTCCAAATCAATAATAGCTGAATTTCTTCACTTTCCTCAAAGCACAGGAAAACACAGGTGAAGAGAGTGAGCAGGCTAACCTGCTCAAAAAGTCTCTTTTGCTTTTCAACCTTCCTTCACAAGAAGAACCATCAGGATAGCATAGACTGACAGTCCTAAGGTCACTGAATACATATGGGTGTTTTTCAGAGAAGTTTGCAAAGTGAAAATAGTATGTTTAAAGCTAATTTTAATTCAATTTCAAAGGAGATACTTGAGTTGATTCACCTCCTGTTGTTTTTACTGAAAAATATACCTGCATTGATTATACAAAGAAAGCCAGCCCAATAAGCAGTCCACCACCACCAACAACAATCCCTTTTTGACTCCCTAAAGCAGAGAAGCAGGAATTTTGTGGATGGACATTAATTTTCTGTAAGTATTTGCTATTCTCTTTACATTGGTACAGCAGCAGGATTCAGCATTATTTCCCAGGACCTCCTCCACTACTTGTGGTGTTCCTCACACGGAACCTCACATCTCTGACTTGCCTCTAGAACTAATGGGACTAATACCTTGAGAATTTTGATGAAAAAAATACGAGCTGTGTAGCCCTTCTTAGTTTTTTCACACCAATACATGAAAAAACATCATCCTTGCCACTTGTGTAGCCATAAACAAAGTCATCAGATTAATCCTGCTGTGATACTTAGGGCTGTAGCTTTACTTTGAAAAGATGTTTTTAAATCTATAGATAATTAGCAGAAGTAACACTGAATTTCTGAAGACTGCTTGCTTAAAAGCTTCTTATTGTTGGCATCCTCAAATGTGGGAGAATGTTGTACCTGCAGAGCACTGTAGGAAATGTAGAGCACCTCTGACAAACCTAATGCTCTTTACACTGTCTGATGTCGAGTTTCAGTTGTATTTTGGAAATGTCAGACATATTTCCTTTTCAGCAGGGACTTTGTTAATAAATTTTGAACTTAGAAAATGATAGTACAGAGAATAGAATTATTTCAGCATGCAGAAGGACATAAAGTGGTATAAACTGCATTTCAATTTCTTTCACTTTATATTACTCAAATATATTTAGGATTTCTTTTTGTTTTCCAGAAACTGGCCTATACAAAGGAAGCAATGGGCAGGTGAGTATCTGTGTTCTCCTTGCGTTTTATTCTCTCTGGAGATAACAACAGGGCTGAGCTGTGACATTTTGTAACCTTTTCTCTCTTTTTTTTGCCAGTTCCTGTGCTGATTGGTCATGTGGGTGAGTAATTTTCCCTTTCTAAAGGCTGGTGGTAGTTCCTTTCTCTGATTCTTGCTGCTGCTGGCATTGATTGGTGTACTGAAGATGGACAGCATTCACCTTTGTGCAAAATACGTATAGAAAAGTGTGGTGGAGCAATCTGGTGGTTCTTGCATGTGAACCTCTGTCCTGGCATGGTTGACATGGCTCAAAATATCTCAGCCAATCTGAGGCTTGTACTTCTGCTTAAGTGTGTCATCACCTTGGCTGTCAGGCACAGACCCAGGCTATTTACCTGAAGAGGTTTAGTGGGGGAAATCTATTCTGGGAAGGAGGTGTGTCCATAGTCACTTGTGTTAGTGTTCTGGTTCTCTTGAAAATCTTTCCCAAAGGCTTTCAGGTAGTCCTGGTCATCATTACAGAAACAAAACCAAAATGGAATAGTTTGAAATGCTATTTTGAAAGACTTTCAAGAGATGTATTCCATAAACAGGTACAAGGGAACAGGCTGTTTGGGCTCCTCACACTTCTAATAAGGCAATAAAACCAAAAACTGATTTTTGCCATCTTTGTAGCAAAGCAAAACTGAATTTTACCTGTTATTGTCATGTCTCTTATTGAACTGAAAGCAAGTTCAAATTATAATTGCTCCATTACTACTCAGAACTTCATCTAAGATATTACTTTTAGGGTAATTCAAACCCAGACTATCTGGTGCTGAACTCCTCTGAAAAACTGGCAGGTTCAATTCTCTGCTTTACAGAACACATAAAGCTATGCTAAATAGGAGTAATTAAAATACCAGGAAGAGTAATGATTTAACAGACTTCTTAGAAAAGCCCCCAACTTCTCAAATTAGATATCCTCATTGTGATTTCATAACCACAGCATAAGTTAAAATTAATAATGTGAGATGATAATGGCAAATGTGTTTCCTAAAAGGCAAGTTTCCCTCTGTCCTGTGGAGCTGAGAGCTCCTTTGTCAAAAGCACTCCCTGAAGCCTCCAGGTCAGCTGGGTAGTGTCCACCTGCTCTGAAGAAGTTTGAGTTTGAAAACCTAAACATACTGCATCCCCCTATGTGATCATTCAGAAAATCTAGTAAATGTAGAGATACATGAGAGGAATTGGAGTCAGTGCATCTAGAGTCTGCATGTACTGGGCTAAGCAAAGGAACAGTGCAAAAAGACCAGCTTTTGATTGAAAGGTGGATCAGAGTGATAAATGTTGTCCAAAAGCCATCCTATGAAGTGTTCCATGGCAACATTAAAGGGGTTCCAGTAGACAAATGGCAAACTTTGCCAAACTCAGTTCATTCTGGGGCTGTGCTGCATCTGTCTCAAAAATACACTGCTTTTATTTCAGTATGTATTGCTTCAGATTGTTTATAGCTTCAAGTTGGGATCTTTGTTATTGCCATCAGTTTAAACTTTGGGTTTACTGTATCTTTTTTTCTATAATTTGTTGTTTGTCTTGTGCTTGGAAATTGCAGTGTTTGGTGGCATAAAGGAGGGTGATAGAGGACCGAAGCAGTGACAGAAACAGGCAGACCTGCCCTGGGTAATGGAACATCAGGAGAAATTAGTAGAAATAATTTTTTACATTAAATCCAAAGTTAATCTAAGACCATTCTGGACATCTTAGAGCATTTATGGTTTAAGATGTGTAAGCCAGAGTCCTGTACGAAACAAAGCCATGATTTTCTGTCATGGGTAGAAGATATCTTAACTCCAGATGTCTTGTCCCATCTCAATACTGCCAACAGCCAATGTTATTCCCTGAAAAATTGCCCACACCTCCCAGTAAAGATCAGAATAAATGTTCTTCTAAAAATGTTCGGTAAGAAATTAGAATAAGTACCCAACCCAGGACCACCATCAGCCTCTAATATGCAGGACGGTAAATCCAGTGTCAAGTCCCTCTTGCAGAAAGGAAAAGTGAGTGCAGTTCTACCCTCTCCTGGGCACTGCTGTTCTCACCTGCTGACCCAATTGCACAGAGAAAGGCTGGTTAGGTGCAGGGCAATGCTAGGATCTGAGCATTGTCTCCCAGCTGTGCCTCTTGTGTCAGAATGGATCACTGTTCTGGTCTTGTCTCGAGGGAAGAAAGGACTGTCCTCAGTATCTAGCTGAGAGGTTCAGGTGAGATTCCCACACTGCCAGGGAAGAGCAGGCTTCTCCAGATGGTGCCTTGAAATTTGGATGTAGCTGAAGTCTCTGAAGTGTCCTGTGGTGAGATCCAGTGTCTCTGATGACTGTGCAGAAGCAGCCATTTCACTTTGGAGGCCTGGCACTGGGCATATTTCTCTGTGTGTTTTCCCACTGATAACAAGAGAAATTTTGCCATAGGTTCTAGAGCATAGCCTTCACACAAGAAACTGTTCCATAAGCTTTGACCAATCTCTTTCCTGTGAAACATTTTTTTTCTTTGAAACTATTCATTAATTTGGGGTTGATCTGGAATGGAAGACAGGCCCTTGATATCTGTTAGTCATTTTAACTATACTACCTCTCTAAATCAAATCAAAACTGTGCTGAAAGCTGTAAACAGCTGTAGAATCGAAGCTGTGACCTGAGTAGTTTGATACAATTCATACAATCCTACCTAGATGTCAATATAGTGTCTCTCTCTAGCTGGAAAAAGCTGACTTCATCTAGCTAAATGCTGGGATAGCTTTAAAGCAGCCTGTGGAAGGGTGCCTTGTGCTCTGGTGGTTTAGTTCCTGGAATAACTCCCAATCCGGCATTACTGACAGTGGCGTAACAGCGGGACGGAGGTTTGTTCCCGTCAGGTTTAGAGCGTGCATTCACAGAGGTTAAATGCCCAGCTAGCCTGGCCTTTCAGGAACTGAGGGATTAAACTAAGTACCACCAAGGAGAAAGCCCCAAAAGGAAAAGCAATATATGGGACACAATCCACATGTGTACCAAGCAGCAGAGTTGACATTGTAGAGTTTTTGCCCCAGTTGGAAATGTCAGAGCACTAAATCAGCTAAAGACTTTTGCTGATTGCTTTATTCAGTAGGCCACTGGCACTTCACACAATGAAGTTCTGTCTCTTGACAATATTGGAGTCTGTCTCTTGACAATAGGGCAGTTCTTTTGTCTGATTCCTGGGGGATCAAAAGCCAGATCTTGAGAATGAGCTGCAGGCAAAGACTTAGCACAAAATTGTTGCAGCAGAAAACAACAGCTTTTATGTCATAGCCTTGCTCGAGTGCTGTATGCACAACAGCATACTGAGGAAAAGATAAAGAGCATAGGATAGTTGAAAAGGAGGGATATAACAAACTACTTTTTCACTTCTTAGGAGCATTTTTTAATGTAAAATGAAATATGTAGAAGTATCTGTGCTTTCTGATGGTACTTGCTGATTCTAACCTCACTGAAATTAGTTGCAGTAAATCTTGTCCAGACCTCCTGTGTTCTGTTCATGTTCTCTGCCTTGGCAAATCTGGAATCCATATTTTATCAGTGGTGGTAGCAATGGATGATGATGTATCAATTTGGCTTTTGTACTATTTATCTAAGCGAGTAAGAGTTTGTCTTCTGTGCTGGGATAATTTCATCAGTTCCGCAGTTCTGCCTGCTGTGACATAGAAACCTGCCTGAGTTTCTCTACTGTTTGCATGTGGACTTGGCAGTGATATTCCTCATTCAGACATCTTTTTTATCATCTGCACAGTTTTCCCACATGTGAAGAGTTCCACACTGTTCCTTTTCAGTTGTATATTTTCTTTTGTGCTCCCTGCTGTCTGGTAGCAAGTATGAAAGGTTTGTCCTATTTTAATTAGAACCAAAAGAGATGAAAATTCAAGAACTACCTAAATGAAAATTAAGATAAATGCATGTAAATTTTAAAAGGAAGAGAATCTGAATACAAGGGTTTGTCTTGCATACTGAAATTGCAAAAAAAAAAAAACCAACTTAAATTGTGTGCTAGTTATTTCAAGGCTGTGTGATTGAAATATTTAAAATCAGACAATAAGTTTTTCTCTCCTTTGTGCAATATGAGAATTGAAGTAATATTTTTCAAGAAAAAGAAATGCTTGACATAGCCAGTTAGACTTTAGGACATTCAAATTCACCAACAATCTTATAAATAATGGATAAACTGGTGGATGTCCAGAACATGTAGTGCAAATCTGAAGATGTTATTTTATTCAACCACAGAGTTGGGTTTGTCATAAACCTTGAAGAGAAATGTGGAGAAAAATCTAACTAATACCTTCATAGAACTTCACGGGGAGCTGTGAAATGGTATCACTGATGGCCCATTTGACAGGTCCAGAGTGTTGTTTCTCCTTGATAACACAGTATGGCTGCACAAAAAGAACCAGTTCAGGCCTCTGAATCAGTGGAACTCTGTTTATGCTTTGGACTGGAACTTGTCAAGTCTTCTCCTGACATGACTGATGTCACACAGAAGTACATACCATGGGCCTTGACAAAAAGAGGAATGTAGGCTGTATTTGTGAGCTGTGACTGCTGCATTAAAATCTATAGGCTGTCCATAAGCACTGTTTGCTTCAGATCAGCTTCCTAGGCCCTTATGGATCTTGCCTTACACCTGCCCAGATCCTGGTGTCTAACAGAGCTGTGTGATCTGAAACTGCTTGTTTCTGCAAGGAAACACAAGTGCAGTGTTGTTTGTTCTGGTGCTTAGACTTCTGCTTGTCCATATTCCTTCCTGCCTCTCCATACATATGTGTATGTTTTTATATTTTGCTTACTGCTCAGCCAAGATGATCCAGGGAATCATTCATGCAGGTAGGACAATGGAAATTGCATTTCATGTGTCTGTGTCTCAAATTCACAATAAACTCCTGTTGGAATACAGTCCCTCTACCTGGAGTGCCTTGCTTGTGTAGGTAAAATTAAAAATCAAGTGTGGGTCTTGGATTAATCCTGGGGCAAAACCATAAAAACCCCCATGTATTTTAAGTGGTGCAAGTGAGCAGGAATTTGAATCTGTGTTTACCTTGAAAAGTGATGTGTTCAGACAATCAAGTATATGCATTGCCATGCACATTTTGAGTGACTTCATCAGAGGTGCCCAGTACAATTGATGCATTTTTAGGTGATCAATAAAGTAGCCATTTGAAAAATGTTAAGGGGAAGTAGAAGGCAAAAATAAAGCAAACCTCATTGTTCTGGTAAGATAATGAAAAACCGATGTTGTGAGTAAAGTGAGCTTGGTTAGAGCATAGGGTCCTTAAAACTATATTTTCATCCTCTTGATTAAAAGTGGTAGCTGATCATTTGACGAAATTTGGTGCTTGACTGGTTTGGCTAGGTTTATTAGGGTTTTTGTAGTTGATGTTTAGGTGCTTGGGTTTTTATTTTCAGACAGCTGTGCAGTAGAATTTTGTCAGAAAATTTGGTAGCTGCTGAGGACATGTATTTAAAAGCCCTCAGTGCCAGTAAGAATATATTACCTGGCCTTGACAAAGAGCTGTTGCTTAAGGAGCTGGGTTTGCTACACAACCCTAACTGTCCCCTTGACACTGGCCTTACTCACACCTCACCTTCCAGTGCTATCCTGGCTGCCCCAAGGCCCGGCTTGGGCTGTGGTTGTCACCATGTGGCCAAACCAGTGCCTAAGCTGATGCTTGTGACAGACACACTCTGTTATAGAGCTGCCATTTGTTGGGTCAGTGACAGAGAAAGTCCTCTTGGACTTTTGAAACTTGGAGAACTTCACTTTGATGTGTCTATGACCAGTAATCTGACTTAGAAGTAGAAATTGAGAAAGATATTAGGCCTTTCCATTTGTAAACTGCTCTTCTTTTGAAAGTGTGATTAATGCCACAGCATTTTATTTGGGGTTTCTTGTCTACTTTGAGGATTTTTCCTTTAAAAATTCAAGCAGCTTAGTTCAGGGGGCTCCTGTTTGGGTGGGGCTGGGGCTGCCCTGGGGTGGTTCCAGACAGCTTTGACGGGCAGGGCTGAGGCCTGCACTGGGGGCAGAGGCAGCTCAGGGAAAGCCTGTGTGAGAAAGGGCAAAAACATGGCGCAGGGAGGGGAAGAGGGAGCAAAAAGAATGAGGAACAGTGGTGTGGGGAATGCCAAGGCCAAGGGCACCACACCATGGCATATCATGTATTCCCTGCAGCTGAGGGAGGACTCAGACTGGAACAAGCAGACCTTTCCTGAAGGAAATGCTGCCCCTGCAGAGTGAGCACTGGGTAGAGGAGTCCAGAGTGAAGTTGAGCCTGGGAAATGGTGAAGAAGAAGTAATGTTTTAATGTTAGTCTACTTTTCACTACTCAAATATGCAATAAATTAGTTTTCCCTAAGCTGAGTCTGATTTTTCCCATGGAAGTAATTGGTGAGCGATCTTCCTGGCTTTATTTCAACCAAGAAGCTTTTCATTGTATTTCCCCCCATCTTATGGAGATGGAGGGAGTGAGAGAGTGGCTGGGTGGGTGTTTGGCCCTTGGCCAAGGCCAACCCACCCCAGAACTGAGTGCTCAGTTGGTCAAATGGTGATTTTGGTCCTTTTGAGATGCCCTGAGTTGCGGCACAAATGTGCAGAAGGCTGGCAGGGACAGTGTGGGATGCATGGGTGACCTGTGCCTTGTGGGGCAGTAGCTGGAGGTTAGGAGTGCCTGGAGGCCCCTCAAAGGATACTGGGCACCAACCTGTGGCCACCTGGATCAAGTCCCACGAGTCTCAGGTTGGGATCAGGGCTTCCCACAGCAAATTATGCGTCTTGTTGTCCTCTTCTTTAGAAAAGGGGATGGATACAGGACTCATCTAATGGCTAGATTTAAACAGAACATTAAAAAATCCCCTAGAAGAGTTTTTACTATTCATCACTTTCCTTTTGATGAGTTTCTATTCTGACCCTAGTTACACTGAACAGTTTGTAAGAAATAAAATTGCAAACTGGCTCGCCTCTCCTGAAAAGTAAAGTCATTCTTGCTTCTGAACATTAAACACGATGCACTAAAATGCTCTGATGCTGTAATTTGGTGACACTCTGTTATAAATGTAATATACTTCCTATTGAAACTGGTAAAAAGGTATCTTGAAGTTAGGTGAACTTAATTGGAAAATGTTTAATCAGACCAATTAATAATTAAGCAATAGTTTTTATTGCAGTTCTAAGATGACAAATGAGTAAAGAAACTAAATCCCTCCAAAACATAGCCAGCATTCTCAAGAAAATATGCTTTAGAGAGGCTATCTTGTCTAAATTACAATTTTTAGTAAAATTTTTCAGTTTTGGAAAGGATTTGAAGATTTACTGAGTTTGCCAAAGAATTAGCAAAGTCAAAAGCAGTCTTGCACTGTGCTGGCTGAAAACAGGTACCAGAGTCCATGAGATGGAAGCAGGCACAGCTACACTTCAAAGCTTACATGGAGTTCATTGATTTTATATGTGCAAAAAATTACATGAAGGTACTCTTGAAATTCTTGAATAAGTATTCTTATTCTTTCATGTGGAAGTTTTTATTTTTTGTTCATATTTTAGAATTGTTGTGGAGATCTCACCCTGTCAGTGTAACATTCCCTGAACTATGTTTTGGTATAGTTAATTTTTTTGTGGAGGATTGACTGTTCCTTCTGGGAAAGGATGGGTGAAAAGATTCTTGATTCTAATAGAAAGTTCATCAGGTTTGCCTTCAGGTCTGTTTATTGGCACATAAGTCTTATGTGTCTGTGAGGGGACACAGAGAAAGTGTTTCAGACATTAACTCAGTGAATCTATGGTCTCTGATCATGTGCTGGTGCTCTGGTATCTGTAGAATGTAACTGAGTCTGGTTGTCTGGCTGGTGCTGGAAGCCTTTTTTGGAGTAATGCAAAGACTGATTATACAGCCTGAAGGAGGCAAGATAGCAACTTTAAGCAGAGTTTTGCTTGAGGATAGGATGGACCTATCCTGCAAGACCAGTGGTAGAGTATGTGAGTCATAAAACAAACCTGGCAAGGCCAGGAAGCATGGCTGACACTGCATATATTGCTACATATACTTGCTGCAATGGCTGTTTCATGGCACAGCATGATCACCAATAAAAAAGGAGATCCTTTAGAAGTGAGAGAAATATCACAATACAATGAACTTCAGCAATGTTCATGTTCAGTTTCTCCCCAGCAGTTAAACCTCCTGTCTTACCGCTTGTGCTGTATATATTTACAATATGGGAAACTCCAAAAATAATTTTCCCTTCATCCAGGAAAGACTGTCAGAGCATGCCTCCTACTCTTGGTAACTTGACAGTTTGCTCCAGGCTTACAGAATTGGCTCCAGGCAGCTTGGGTTTACTGTAAGAGTTGTCAAAGCTGTTCATTTTTCTTCAGGCTGACAGTCTTCATGTGATTGTTCCTCTTTTCACATTTGGACCAGAGTCGCTTTATATGTGTGTGTGAATCCCATAACTGGGTTTGGAAACTGATGTGTTTCGAAGATTTCCAAATAAGCAGAGTAAAATTAATCATGGAAAGAACTCATCTTCTTGCAGCAATTTCAGTGTAGTTATGGTGTTTTAGTGCACTGTGGAAGTATTTTAAAAACTGAATGGTTTATAGGGTATTACCAGTTATCTTCACAGTTTATCTCTTTGCATTTGCTTTCTTTACAGAACTAGAAGGCAAAATGTGTTTTTGTATGGGACTCCAGGTCATTTGGGATATAAGAGGCTTAACAACCTAGAGATGCACATCATGTGTTGTATAATGCAAGTGACCCAAAATCAAAGTTGCAAAATATAACTGAAATACCATTAAGCCTAATTTTTATGAAGTTATGAGCAAAATGGTACCATGAAAAATTTCTTCTGCACATGTGTTTCTTGGTGTAGTATCAGAATCACAGAAATATCAAAAACTACATTTTTCTTACCACATCCAGCTTCAGTTTCTGATTTGTTTTTTATCTAGTGGGACTCCTACTCCACCTTCGGATGCTGATGTAACCACACTGAGAGGTAAGTTTTTATCTAACTGCTGTTAAGGCTGATTCTGAATTACCAAAAAATTGAGGAATTCAGGTGTTTGGATTTCAGAAAGAGCTCTGAATTTTTACACCTCTTTCATGCCCTTTGTCATCTTGAGATCATGTTATGTGCTGACATTTTATTTCATGAATCATGAAAATCCTACTCGAGAAATTAGTTCTGTGCCAGTTTTACTGCACCCAAGTTCATGTTCCCAAAAATACATATGCTTAGCAGAATGTCAGCATCTTATAGTGATTGGTGTATTTGATACTTTTCCTCAGGCTTTCCATGTGTCTCCTATGCTTTTGCTGTCATGATGATGGGGAATAGGAATCAAATTTGACTATTGGTTTATGCTTGCTGAACTGCTTCTGTGGGTGTATAGAAAAAGAAAAACAACAAACAAACCTAAACAAAACAACACTGCTCTCTTACAAACTCAGATGCAGCTGCCAATGTTCCTCCCCCTCATGAGGTCTCCGTTGAGAGTCCTGCGGGTGACACCATCCATGAGCATGACAATGTGGACACCACTGTGAGTGAGGCTTTTTTAATTTGGTTCAACATTCTGTTGCCTTCCCTACATGATATTGTCTATGGTCATTTACATTTTAATAGCAATTAAAGGTGTTGTTAATATGGTAATGCTGTTAATGATGTTAACACAAACTAGGATTTCATAGTGATGCCATTTTCTTGGTCCTAAAATTAAAGAGCCAGACACAGTTAAGGGATAAAGGGTTTTTACCTCAGTATTTAATAAGGATTCTTATGGTGCAGCAATTTGCCAAGGTGGAACACACTGAAATGCACACTCATGGTAGATCACGTATACAGTCCTACAGACCTTGCAAATTAGTATATCTAACAAGGATGTTCCAATGAGAGGCTTGAAAGAATAGTGTGACATCCCCGTATCCTCAGGTGTTTTCCTCTAGATGGGCCCAATCCTGGTCTACAGGATGTGTTCTAGAGGGGGCCTTGGTTTCTCAAGATAGTGTAAGGCTGTCTGGCCTCCAGCTGTGAGGCTTTAAGGGTATTTGGTCTCCTGGCCCAACAGAATACCAGGGTAAGGTATCAGACTTAAGGAATTATAAGTATCCATGCCAACGGTACTGAAAACACATAAGAGGTATATTTAAAAAAAAAGGTAAAAAATCATCACAGCATCAATAAAATCAGGGTGTGAATTTCTAAAGTTTTAAGAAACGCACACCTGGGCAGATATTTTTTCCTTTTGGAGAGGTTTTGAAATACCTCTTCCCCCACAGTGGCAGATAATATATCAGTTGAGCAATCAGGCCTAGAAGCCTTGAAGACTCTGATACTCTGCTCTTTTTCCTCTGTTGATGTAGGTGAACTTGTATTTAACGTCTTACAAGCTACTCTTTCTGTGATATTTAACCAAAGCTCACAACACAGGGAAGTCTAGACCCCATATTTAAAACATCTCTCTAGAAGTTGACCACCACATAAGTCCCAGGGCAGTATTTGCTTCTAGGAAACAGGTCCTCCAGATGAAATTTTAATTCCACGCTCTAGAATCCAATTGCAGTATTCATGGGCCAACGTGACTGAAGAAAATTTTGTAAACCAGTGTTATCAATCAGCTAGCTTTTTTTTTTTTCCTTATCAAAATGAAGCTCTCAATGGATCAAGAGGAGCTCACAAAGTTTCACATGCTGATTTATTGTACTGGGATTAACTGGGCCGTATTGTTCAGTAACCTATGTGGCCCTGAAACAAAGCTGAACCAAACTGTGCATTCTCCTAGAGCTTTCAGTGCTAACTGGAGCTCTGATGTTGGAATAAATACAGAATATGGAACAGACAGCTTCTGACTCAAATGCAGAGTCTGGCCTTATGTTATGTACCAAGAACACTTGTGGTTTGGTCTCAAGAACAACGTTATTCTTCTTTTGAAACAGAACTGCCTGGAATATTTCTACTGGAGCAGAGAATAGGACCACTCAGTAAATGGGCAAGGAACCAGAATTAGATTGCTCTGCTGCTACAGCATTTTTACTCTGTACAGCTACATCCCACCTAATTGTTCTTGGCAGCCAAAATACATTGTTGATTACAAGGCCAAGAGTGAGCAAAGATCACCTTCTGCACTTTGTATGCTGACTATACCAGGTTTTGGGGAGTTGATAAATTATTTAAACTACATGGTGTTGCAAACAGCCAAATCATAGCACTATGTATATGTCTGCTAAATGTGTATCTCTCAAATGCTAACTAACTTTAAGCAATGTACCAGTCCTTATGGTCTTTGGACAGAGTTATCTAGTGAAAAAGGAATGTGAGGGGCTGGAAAGAGAATTTAACTAAAAAATTTTAGAGGGTTCCTAAACAATGTAGAAGTTGCTCACTGATGGCAGATAAACTTTCAGGAGAAAGTTTTTTCCATTTCCTGCATGATGCATAATATAAGACTGCAGCTTCATTGAAAAGATCTGTTTTTATGGCTCTCTATTTTTACTTTTTAATAGGAAAAACCAAAAAAATATGTATGTAAATAGTCAAAGACAAAACCTCTAGCAAAAGACATTTGGCTAAAGTTAACAAGCCAGCCTTCTCTTCCCTCCCAGACAAATCTCTATTTAAAAAAAAAAATAATTCTGGTGTCTTTCAGTATAGCACAAGACATAGTATGCTATTTTAAAAATACTAGGGAAGTAGGCAGAAAACATGCTCAGCCATTCAAATTGGATTAAAACTTGGCATTCACTGCTGCCTGATAGCTCCATGCATCCCTGATGCACTGCACAGCCACTGCTCTGGGGCTTTTTGAAATAAATACAAAAATGAGCAGACATTTTTGTAGAAAGAGCAGTTGAAGCCCACTGCTTTAGCTCAGCAGAGCTCCCATTCCCAGTGTCCCCTGTGTGTCTGGGGGGGATCCTTTGCCTCCTGAGGCTGAGCAGCACAGAGTGTTATTCCAAATGTAGAACTTGGCAAAGGCAGCTTGTCTTCCAGCTGGAAGAGTGAGTAGGAGCCTTGTGATAAATGAGTAAATTTTGGGTAAATCAGCCTACGCTGGCTGGGCTCAAGTGAGATGTTTGAGTAACCATGGTTGCACTTTAAATTGCTTTGTGAACATCGCACACATCTGTATTTCACTTTGTACCTGAAGTCAATGAGATGGATTTACACTGAAGGTGTCGAAATGGAAAACGGAATTATCTTCAATATGAGAATTCTCAGGAAGTGCTCTTGCTTAGTAGACTTCCTCATTAGTGCTGTCTCTGTCCCTGAGGCTTCAGGAGCACTCCATGTTGGTGCCAGGCAAACAAATGTGCTGATGGCTCCAGCAGGGCACATGCTGCGCTCTGCACTGCAGCATTCACCTGCCAGTAAGTGTGTCTTCCTTCCCTTCCAGATCAATAACGAGATAAAGAAGCAGGATGAGAAGACAGTCAGACCTGTAACTGAGCAGATGATTGAGTTCAACATTTTGATTGTTGGTGAACAGTACAGTGAGGAGCTGAAGGACCCATCTGCTGATGAGTATCAACTGCTGTCTGAACGATTCATTTCTCAGGTGATTCCCTTCCCTAACTTCATTTTTCCTTTTGCTGGCTCTGCATAGCAATAGCAGCAAAAAGCATCTATGTCAGGGCTGCTGATTTTTGTCTACCTATGGTTTCCAATAGTTATTTTTTATTTTGTCTATAATAGTGGTAATTATATTGCCATCATATTTTGGGAGCTGGGTGTGTGTCTGCCTTTTCTCTTTGGAGAGGCATCTAAGTTGTCCTATGGCTGCTTATCATGAGCCTTATCTTTTCTCTTGCCCCATTTAGTTTGGGTTGATTTTCTGAATCCTTTTTAGTGGGGCAAACCCTGTGCCAGATCCTGGGCCAAATGGGAAAGAAATGTACTCTTCACTGCAGCCAAAAAGCATCACCATGACTTTCACAAGTTGCTAGCATAGGCTAGACATCTTAGTTATCCTAGTTGTGAGTCCCAGTAGCAATGCCATGGTATGTGTGTGTGTAAAAAATGTTGGATGGGACAGAGTCCACCTGGCACATGGATATCCCACTGCTTTGATCCCTTGCCTGGTTTTCTCTGAGTTTGAATGAAGAGGCTCTCGGAAAAAAAAGTCATCAGCACTGTGATTGTTTAAGTCTCACCAGAGACAGTTTAAAAATAGGGAGATGGGGGAGGGAAACAAGAATTTACAGAGTAAAAATAATCCTCAACTGGCAAGTATCTTTAGAAGCTAAAAAACTTTCTAAACCAGCATGAACTTTCAGTATTCTCTGTCTTGGTTTTGTCTCCTGCAGCACAGTTGATTGTCTTGGCAGTCTCTTTCCATTTCTCCCCTTGGAATGTTTCTATGTGGTTCTTGGGGAACGCTGGATGTTGTTTTTCATCCTTTTTATTTCCCCTTTTTCTAATAATGAAACAATGTCACCAAAACTACTCTTCCATAAAGAAAGGAATATTTAACTGTTTTTCACCTATCAGATATAACAGCTCAGATACATTTTTGGACAATGCTAGAAACACTTGCTAATTTTTCATCACATGAGAAGAAGTGAACTGAATCTGTGTTAATTTTTTTGTTTTTCTGTCAAAATAGATTAAAAGTGTATTTGAAGGACTACCTGGATACAAAAGCATCCATGTCCTGGATTACAGGTAAAAAGATCCTGATGCATATATGGTGATTGAACATGATCATGTAGGGTGGTGCAATGAACTGACACAATGCTTAGCAGGATGTCAGGTGTGTGTGGGAGCTCCTAGGGTATATTAACTGACTGCTCTCATATTTGATACATCTGTATATGCAACTGAAATAGAAATACAGAACTGATTTTTTTTCCTTCTGGAATTCTTCACATGAAATGTTGGCTGTGATTTTAAGACAAGGCATTATTGTTCAAGATTCTATCCTAAAATAAAAAGATATATTCATATCTGCTACTTCTAATATATCCAAGTATTAAACAAGGAAGGACACAGAAATCCTTTTGAAAAAAAGTGGTGTATTTAAATTTCTTTTTCAAATTCTTAATGTTATTTTGGGATGGCTCTAAAGGTTAGTGTTTAGGATATGGACATGTCTCTCTCTCTCTCTTGGATCAAAAAAAAGAGGTGGGGGATAGTTTGATAAATTGATGTTTTAACTCTCTATATTCTTAGAAATATACTTTTAAAACCACTTGTGCTTCAGAGTGACATTTAAAGCTAATTTGTTAAGTTAATGCATCAAATGTAAAATGTCTGTCTTTTGGAGTACAGGGCTCACAAATTGTGATTTTTCTAGAATGGACTGGATGTAGCTTTTAGAATCCAATGAGTGTTTTCATGAGTTAATTTAAATTGTGTTCTCTTTGAGACTGTAAGCTGTATTTCTTAGAATTTATTGTCTGGAATTTTTTAATTGCCATACATGTAGGTAACAAAGCAACTGTAATGAGAGAGGTATTGTGGTTGGAACCATGGGCTACATCCAGTTTTCAGCCTGGAAGGCAGCAAAACCTTCCATCTTGGTATTTGCAGTCTAGTAGGTTTGCAAGCACTAGGTTCATTTGAGAAGACAAATAAATGGCTGATATTTCTGGCAAAGTCTGCTCTCTGCTGTGCATGACAAAAACCCATTGATTGTAAGTTAAACCTTTAGGTAGAATAAGTGAGCCTTGATTTTCTGGATACTCACAGCAATTTACCTGCATTATTTACAATAATCTGAGATGGCTCTGCTCTGCTGATTCCTTGGGATCAATAGAAAACATCTCAGTTCACTAAAAGCAGGACAATTTGTTATACAGCTGAGTAACTATGAATAACTATGCAACCAAAAAGGATTTTCCTTTATGTGTTTTCAAACGGTTATGCTCTGTAGAATACCAAAGCAAGCATGTTAAATTTTTATGACTTAAAGGAAGTTATGATATTAATATAACGAGTTCTGCTGTTCTGTTTTGTTTTTATGTTCAGCCCTTCCGAGGAAGACAGGTAAAGAAAACATTTTTCTAGATATTGTCATAATACAGATGGGAAAAACATGTTTAGCTGGAGGGCATTGTTTTCTGGGATTTGTATTCCTGTGTTCAGAGCAAGATAATTATTTAACACAAATATTGTGAGAGAAGGTTCTACCATGAACTGCAAGTAACTGACCTGTTTCAATTAAGGATAAACCTAATTTGCTTATTTAAGTCATAATTAAAAAAAAAAAAAAACCCTCAGGAAAAATCATCCTAAACACAAGTCAGCTACTGGGGTAACTTGTGTATAGAAATCTCTTTTGTGAAGAAAACAAGATTGCTGAACAATAACTCAGTCTTCATACTTTGCAACACAGTCTTGAATAGATATGGGATTATTATTACTGAAATTGAAGTAGACAAGAACCCTATAGTTCTCCAGCAAAGGCTGTTGGCTTTGCTTCAAGGCCAGAGGCGCTGCAGATCTTAGCAGAACTTTAATAGATGTTCTTTAGCAGAACATGGGATTACTCTTGTTTTCCATCATATGCAAGTTAAGAATCCAGAATTTTCCTTCTTTAGTATGTTAAGAATGTCACAAGACAGAAGAACTGTAGCCTTAATTTGCTAAATGTATTAATTTGTTCTGTGTGTGTCTCAGCATTGCCAGTTTCCATGAACAAGTTTAAAGAGAATGAGCATTCTAACCTTTCAAAAAAGGTTAGAAACACAAATCTCTTTACAAACTATATGCAACTGTTCACAAGGGCTATGTTCCAGGCACCAGATGCTCAGCCCTTTCCAGAAAGAGGATGGTATTGTAGTTATTTGTTAGGCATTATGAAGGGCAGCACAGTTGCATTAAACCTAAATGTTATGTTTGAGGGGCACACTCTGTTCCATCTTTCCTGTGCCTTTTCACTACTACAGCCCTTTTTAATCTCCTCTGCTGGCAGTCAGTGCCCATGGTGAGCCTATGGTGGGCTCATGTCAATGACAGAGCCAGCAGCACAACCCTAGGCTCCTGGGTTTAGTCAGTGAGTTTGTGAATTTTCTCTGTTGTATCTGGAACTGGGGTTTTAAAGACTTCTCTGAACAGAACCATTGTTTTAGAAATACAATCCAGCTCTGTGGAATCAGGAAAACCTGTATACAGAGCACATTTCTAAGGCTTCAGAGGTTAATTTTTCTTGCTGTGCTCTGTCTACAGTCAAAATGTGTTGTATCTTGTCAAGTTCCCTTGTGCTTATGCCCAGTGCATGGTAAATCTGATTGCAGCCTAATCAGTCATGTGGAAAAGGACATCCAGATGTATAAGGAAAAGAAAATTAAGAAAATGGAAGAGAGTTAATATGAAAAAAACCCTAAACTGTACACAGATATGAAACTGAGTCATAGAATACATGATCAATTGAGCCTAGATAAATTTTCCCAATTTGATTAATTAAATACTATTTTATTGCCATTAAAAACATTCTTTCAAGCTGGTTAACACTGCACAGTGACAGAGATTAGGGCTCTCACTTGCTACTATAGATTGCAATATGTTTTTCCTATGTACTTTCATACCTCAGAAACATTCCTATTATTAATATGATCTTAAAATCACTACTCTCTCCACTACATGCTGGTGGATCCACTAAAAATGCTTGCAGAAAGTCAGTGTTTTGGTCTGCCTATGGTCTGTCTGCCATTCACTAGCAGAAATGTGGGGCTGGCACCAGAACAGGTGTCAGTTTTGGGTAGCATTTCCCTTGAGAACTTTGTGAAAAGAATCAAGTTGGTTTTATTCATCCTTTAAAGCTGTGTATTTTTATATTTAAAAGAGTATTGACTTGAGCCCTTGTTAAAAAATATAGTGTTGGCTTGCTTAGGAAAACCTGGAATTTCTCATCTGTATTCTTTCTCTTTGTACAACTGAAGTGGGGTGGAAGTTCACTATGCTGTCACATTTGATGGAAAAGCCATCAGCAATGCCACCTGGGACCTGATTAACCTTCATTCAAACAAGGTGGAGGACAACTCCTTCATGGACATAGAGGATAATCCAACAGTTGTGTACACCATCAGTGATTTCCGAGATTATATTGCTGAGATCCTCCAGAAAAACGCTCTGCTTGAAAATGCTTCCATCTCCTTAGACCCAAACTCTCTTCAGCTTACCAATGGTGGGTATTAATTGTGGTGCATTGGTGTGCCACACATCTGACTTCTTATAAAATAAATCTCAGATGAGTGAATTATTCAGCTGTCCTCTGAAAAATTAAACAGAAAAAAATCAACTGTATTATAGCCTGTTTTGCTCTGATCTTAACCAGGTCAAGTCATTAGCAGTAACACTCTATTCTTGATCCATTAGACTAGCCCCCCATTTTATTCTAATTTGTATATTGAAACTGAAGTTTGTGGTGTACACTTTCAGTAATACTTTCAAAAATTAATAGGAATAGAAAGGGGAAACGTGGTTCACATGGTGCACATTGCATCAGGGTGACCTCCAATTTAGTAGCTCTGTGTTAGCCTTAGGCAGCACAAAGGGAATACCCAGATTATTGTTGAATATTCAGTGATCTGCTAGAGGAGATGAAAGAGTGCTGACACCCCTTTGTTCTTACCTTTCCCCTTCACTTCTGTCAGTGATTTGGAGACCTTTCCAGAAACAAAATCTCTCTGGCAAAATTTCTGACAATATTTTACTTACAAATCTGAAACCAGAGAGGGTTTTCCAGTCAGTCTTCCAACACAACTTCCTCACACTGTTATGCAGCCTTTAGATCCCAAGTGTTTCTATTTCCACAGTGAAGGAAATCCTGCACCCCACATCAGAGGACCCATCCTGGATTACTGAGCACCCAGTTGTGCTGGAGCGCCCGGAGTTTGATGTGAGTATTGTTCTGAGCAGTGGCCTTTGGATGCATTTGAATAATTTAGTTCAGCAAGGTAGAATTGTAGCCAACACTCAGAGCTTCTCTATCCTGTTGTTCATGCAGAGTAAGTACTAATGAAGGCACACCTTATATCGGAGTAAAAACTGCTGAAACCTCTTATATGATAATTCTAGTGTCTGCTGCCCAACAGTTTTCTGTGATCATCTTAATTTGATTATAAACTTCTCTAAAGAGGTGATTCTTCCTTCCATGATACTACCTTTCTTTGGAAAGAAGAAATAGATGTAAATCCTACAGCTGACTGCTAGAAGAGATAAGATAAAATGCTGAGTTTCATAAGCTCCTTTTGTTACTGTATTTATTTCAAACAAAGTTCTCAATTTGGTTTTAAAATTATGTCCATCTTCCTAATACCAGGAGAGGAAAATAACTGGCACTGGTTCTTAATTTTTGTCTCTTGAAATTGTAATTGTCTCCTCTGACTCCCTCTGGAATAATCCAAGGCACAGACCTGAGTTCCCTACTGGACAGGAGACTTGGTGTCCCTGCCATGTCTGTGCAAAGGGACTTTAAGCAAAGATACTGAGTTAGGTGCCAGCAATGCTGAGATCAAGTCAGTCAGTTCTGCCAACAGAGAGATCTTCTGAGTGCTGAATCATTGTCTGGGCAGTTGGTTTCTGCTCTCCACTCTGTTCTGTAACACAGATGTACTTTCAACAAGAAATGAGCTCAGATCATGCCCTAAAATCCAGATCCACTTGTGCTGGATGGTAGGTTCTCACTCAGTCCATCATGAGATAATGTTATGAGATAATGTTATGTGCATGTTATGTACAGACACATTTAATTTTAGCCAGCTTCTGAAATGTTTATGTAAGCAAAATTTGTTTTCACAGGATGCAAATATTGTTAGAATGGACGTAGGTATAATGTCCTTAATTTCATGACAGCTTTCACTGAGTCTTAAAAACTACTCATTGATGTCTAAAATGAAAATTTGTGTGGATTCACCATAATGGATTAAACATGGTGTAGATAAACATGAATTTAGGTTGGCTTTCAGAAAAAGGCTTTCTCTTTACTGGAGACAACTTATTGGAGACATCTAACTAGTCTAAAATGTTGTACATGTTTATTTTAGTAAGACAAAGAATTCTGCCATTCTGACATGTGAAGGCTGGAAGATAATTTAGAGTAGTGATAGCTTTGCAATAATAAATTTTAAACTGGGTTTTGGGAATATTATTATGACAAAAATTTGTGAAAGTAATATTTCTCTAATCATGACTGTGAATAAAGGCTTCTATACCTTCAGTCAAAAACTCTGATTATGTAAAAGGTATCAATATATCCCCAAACCAGCTGTGTACAATCGCAATATACAGGTATTTGGCAAAGTAGCTTCAAATAAATATAAGAAAATCCTAATTATGCTTAAACACCACACAATCAATCAATTATTTCTACAGATGTCAAACCTTTATGGTTCAAGTAGCTGCTTTCAAGGAGAACTGTTACCTATAGAAAAGAATTTTGCTATAGTTTTCCCCAGGGGATTTGAGAATAAACTGGATTTGTATTAGCATACCAACATCATGACATTACATGGGACTGTCATGATTTCACCATCCAAATGCTACTAGATGGTACAGCTAATTCTTTTGAGTTTTGCTCTCTTTAAAAGTAAAGCAAAAATCAGCTCTAGTTTTTGAAAACTGTATTTTCTTGTTTATGTTGAGTTGTAAGAGGTAGAATGCTCTGGCTTGAGGAAAGGACAATGCCTTTCTGGCAGCAGAAAATGAAAAATCAGAGAGAAGTGTTCTGTGTTTACAGTCATCTATCATATTTGTAAGCCTTTTACATTGGTGAAAACCAGAAGTAGCCAATATAATATTAAACTTTTTAGTATAATATATTGCACTGTAACAAAAATCTTTGAATAATGTTAGTTGCCATAGGAGCATTTATCCACATTGAAATAAATGATGAGGTGAAATCCCTGGCAACTAAATGCTTACATTAAATAATTGTATTGAGGAGAAATTACTGGTAGTCCTAATCCATTCTTTATGGAATTTATAAGTGTAATTTATTTCTATTTTTGTACAGTAAGTCTTTTGAAACCATTATTTATAGTGGCTAGTCTTGCCAAAAATAAAATTGCTGGAGCACATGTCTCTATGGTACATATACTTTTCAACTGATTGTCACCATATAAATTTAAAAATTTGATTAAACTGTGGTGGCATAACAACTGGCATTTTTAAATATGATCATTACATGCAAACAAGTAATTTAAGAACAGAAAGTACCTTAACTGGCCTTTCCAAAGCATTCAAATGCAGTTTGAATTAAGCTGAAAATTTAATTCACCCTTATTTCAACCTGAAGTAAAATCTTAAATTAAAAAGTATTTGGCTTCTTCCTGTTATTCCTGCTGATCAAGCAACAGAAAGAGATTTTACAGGGACAGTGAGCTACAGAAATTATTACAGTGGTTTTGAATTGAAATTACAGAAACCTGTGTCCACTGTAACTTTACTTAACTTGTCACCATTGGCAGTTTGTTAGCACTTAGCAAATTGCTGCTTCTTGAAATTGCTTGGCAGTGTTTCATAATACCCTACAGGGGTTTTGGTCCATATCCCACTGCTGCACAGCATTTATATGTGGGCAGGTATCCATGTAGAACACTAATTCCTGAGTTTTAGGCTATCAGCTTGCTTTCCTAGCCTTGACCAAATAACTTATTATCTTTATTGCCTTTTTCTAGTATCATCAGACACCATAGTAGGAGATTCTTATTCAAAGATGAAATATGCTAATTACTTTAACTGTAAACCAACTAATGATTGAGACATGGAATAGTAAGTAAACATTGTGGAAACTGGAGATGTAACAACAGATTATTTTTTCACATTTCAAATAATTCACAAATTCATTCTGCATGCACTTTGTTCTTCATCATTACTGCTGATAGATTTTTTTTTTTTTTTTTTTGTGCAAAGGTACCTTGGCTTTGAGAATAAATTATTCCAAGTTCTAAATGCTCTTCATTACATTCTGGTCTCTCTTATTCCCCTGCGTTCTCATACCCACAAACTAAAAGATATCAATAAATGATAACTGGGCATGCATCCATTGAAGTTCACTTTCTACATTGTTTCATGTATCATGGTAACTGAAATATTAGAATTAATGTATTGGTTGTGTGGCTGATGAATAACCTGAATAAGCTGTTAGAACCTCATCATGCTTTAGGAAGGCAGAAAACGTTTATCTTTGATTAAGTTGGAGATCGACAGATTGATTTTTTTTCAGCACAGGAAAGGAGATGGGGTTGGATATAGATGGTAAATCTCTTAATACCCTTTGGGGTTCTGCACTCCCAGCAATCAGAATGGCTCCTTTCCCTTTTTGGTGGACATGACTGGACATGGCATTTGTCAGAAGGATGTGCATCTTACATGTCTATTGCACAAGATTAGCAGGGTCTGTATTTGCCCCTCACCCTGCTGCTGTGCATTGCTCCCTCAGAGGCAGTAGTCTGAGTTTGCTTAACCCCTGCCTGCTGTTAACCCCTTCTGTGTGTCCAGCCCAATGCAGACAGCCAGTGTTTCCCCTGTAACAGTGGAAATATTAACAGTGGCTTTGTGTTCCAGGACAGCACCTTTTTGGCAGAACGTCCTTCTGCAGATGAGTCAACTGTCAGCAACGCCTTGCCCTTTGATCACACCAAACCAGACTCCAGCTCAGACACTGAGCAGGCCAGTGACAATGAAATCCAGCCAAGACCCGAGAATATTGACCATGAGGCTGCTTTGGCACCTGAAGCTCCACTTTCCTCAGAGGTTGATGTCACTTCTTTGCCTGATGGGCAGAATTTAGAGACTAGTCATTTAGTCACTGTACCGGTGTTAGAGCATGATTCTGTGGACTCTCTGGAATGGCTTTCAGCCCCCAGTTCTTTAGATGGTAAGTTAATGCTGTTGACTGAAGCTTAAATTTGGGTACAAGTATTTCCTGATACTCACCAAATTATAGTTCACTGAAATGAGTTTTCAGAAAGGTCTAAAAATTGAGTATCTTTCTCTGCCAGTTTTTACCTTTTGTCTGTGCCTGTATCCAAGAGCTATATACCAAGGTAAAATGCTTGTAATAGGTAATAATACCTGTTTCTCTCTTCTGGAAATTATATATACATGACACATGTTAAATAGCATAAAAGTAATTTTGTATGTCTTGACTTGGCCCATAGAATATATCTGAAGGGAAAGTGGGAGAAGTTAACAGGGGTCTTTCTGACTTTGGCATGCAAAGGCCGGAATATATTATGGAAAATGTGAAACACAGATCTGCAGATAATAAAATTAATGAAATTTGACACTTTTTATCACAAACAACATCTAATTGTCAATTTGTTTTTATTTTTAATGTTTGAAGACACTGGACTGTCTGAAGAACTTTTGCCTTTAAGTCCTTCTCACCTTGTGCCTGAAGAATCTCCATCTACCGATGACTATGCAGTTCCTTTGCTTTCTGCACCAACAGTGGCCTCTTCATCACTTGTAGAGACTGATATTAAAGAGAAGGAAGAAGTAATCCAAGGTAGTCCTGAGGGCAGTGACAGTGCAAACTCTGTGGAAGAAATTCCTTTTCCCTTAGAAGTGCCCCTTATGGAAGATGAAACTGATGTATTTCTTGGAGATAGAGTTATATATGATGATGGGTCTGGTTCAGCTTTTGATGGTTCAGGAAAAGAAATGGAATCAAGTATCTGGCCTTGGGAAGAAGCAACCCTGGAACCAGTTTTCTACCCTGGTCCTGATAGCTGGCTTGAAGATGACAATGAGTCTTTATTAACCAAAACAGAGGATATTCCTGAAGGCATGATTTTAGACTATATTCTTAACTCTGGTAATAAATTAGATTATGATCTTTCCAAAGATGAGAATGAAGGGATAGTCAATATAAAAGATTTCCTTGATGAGTCTGAAATATTTGTCTTTCCAGAGACTACAACTCCACAAGTACCTCTGTTACAGCCAGAAGAGCCATCGTCTGTGGAACCATCTACACAGACAGAAACTCTGGGCATGTATGATTCCTCTCTTGTCATGCCAACTGGAGAGGCCCCTGTATCCCCACCACATACAGATCTGTCTGTGGAAGATAGTCTCCATACATCTACAGGGACTGTCAGTATGGAGCAGCCCGAGGAGTCCAGTGTAGGCCAGAACATAATCCCTGAAGGAGTTGAACACCAAAGTGAAGACAGGGCAGTGGTAGAAGAAGAACTATTCACAGTGAAGCAGCTGGATGTAATGGAAGCTGCTACAATAGGACACTTGGACACAATCTCTTCAGAAAATATTTTGACTGCAGATCCTTCTGTGGTAAAGCCTGTTGCTTCCACAGAAGAGAAGCAAGCCCTAGACTCCTCACTGGCAGACCAAGACACTCACGGATCAGCAGTGAAGGAACCAGATGATGTTTGGCTTACTGACAGGGCACTAGAAACCTCCTTAGATGAGACAGTGCAACCAGAAATGCCAGCAATGGTTACTCAAGGTTCAGCTGCAGCTCCTTCTGCAGTAGATCACACCCCTGTCCTAGAGGGCTTTGGTGGACAGGATGGTACAGACCATGGCACACACATTTCCATGAGTTTCAGCACTGTTGTGGATTATCAAACACTGAGTGTAACAACAAGCACCGTTGAGCTTCCGTCCCACCTCCCTCCTGTGGGATCCACACCATCATTGTCTGTGGCTACCTCAACAAAGCTGGGAGACGAAACAACCAGAGTCCTGGATGTTTCAGTAGACCTGGGTCATGTTAGCACTGCCCAGTTTTCTCCTGAGCAGACTGAGGAGGGAAGGAGAATGACTGAAAGTCACATTGAGCTAACCACTCGTGTCCAGTCCACAGAGATGGCCAGTGTGGCTTGGGCCACACACGAAACTCACTACAGCAGCACCGTCCCATCCCGAGCTCTGGTTGTGTTCTTCAGCCTTCGGGTCACCAACATGATGTTTTCAGAGGACCTGTTTAATAAAAACTCCCCTGAATACAAAGCCTTGGAGCAGCGATTCTTGGAACTGGTAAGAGTCATTTCTGTGCTAAATGTCCATTACCAGATAGACAAAAACTGTTGGTAAATAATATTTAGTCATCCCTCACAAAGAGCAACTCAAAACTGGCGTTTACATATAAGACTTGTGTCCTTCTGTGGGGAAAGTTCTATCTGGAAATGGGTGGTGGGATGCTGTTTGTCTTTTATTCAGATAATAGTCTCTCTCTGGTGGTGTTAATAAATATAGCAGTGTAGCTGAAGTCATTCTTCACTCCCCCTACTTGCTTCCAGAGTGCTCTGTATTTACTGTATAGAGAGGAAGAAGCAAGAAAACCTGGAGCTGTGAGCAAGTAACTTTTCTGCCACACATTCAACCTGTCCTAAGTAAGAGGTAGCTCAGATAATTAAGCTGTTCCTAACCTGACTGATGACTTGGAAAGCCTCACAGGAGTTACACAGCAACAACTGCCAAATTTTAACTGGGGAATTCTCCTCTTCTGAGTGAAACAAACATTCTCTAGTGAGAGATGAAGGAAGAAAAGCAGAGAGAAGGAAGGGGGACATGCTTGAAGGAAAAACCCTGTGAAATGGCAAGTATTCCAGGTACTTAGATCAAGGGAGAACACATGTGTCTTGAGAACTGTATTTCTGAATTGTCGATTTTTAGAAACTCCTTGAAAATTGCTATACTCTTAAGAACTGCCTGAAATACTCAGGCTCCAGCACAGACCTCAGCTGGGTAAAGATTAATGCCCTTGATGTAGGATTTGGATAAAACCATTCAGACTCTAATTGTCCACTGCAGTAACAGTGCAACTGGCTTGAGCAGAGAGACTCAAAGATTCAGCTTTTCTGTCATATCCCCTGTGTTGCAGCTGGTGCCCTACCTTCAGTCAAATCTGACAGGATTCCAGAATCTGGAAATCCTGAACTTCAGAAATGGCAGCATTGTGGTGAACAGTCGAATGAAATTTGCCAAACCTGTGCCTCGGAATGTCACCAACGCTGTGTACATGATCCTGGAAGATTTCTGCAACACTGCATATCACACCATGAACCTGGCCATTGATAAGTACTCCCTGGATGTTGAATCGGGTAAGGACAGCAGGAAAATGCAGCTTAAAGCAAGGGATCCAGAAAAATGTCTGGTTTAAGTGCTAAGGATCCCAACAGCTCAGAGGCTGCCCACTGCTCTTCACAGGCTGGGCTTTAGAAAGACAGTCTTTCATAGAGTAAAAACAAACAAATGAAAATCTGCTCTGGGACTAAAGAAATGAAAGTCAAAGTGGGACCCAGACAGAGAAAGCTGTATGGGGTCCATATAGCTTTATGGAGAAAAATAACTCATGGAATACTCTCTATAATGCCCCTGTATTTGAGTTGGGGAGTGGAGGAGAGGATGGCTCGGGGAGAACAGTGGTGCCCATCTCTCTTGTGCATACTTTGATGTGTGGTTTGAACTTCACATGGTTATTCCCACAGGTGGTAGCCAGTTTACCTGCCAGGTGAGCATCTGCACAGGTAACAGTTGCTGCCTCATGCTTGCAGTAAGGCCTTGGTTGCACTAAAAAATCACAGGCCCTCTTGCTTCACTTCTCTGGTACAGGGAGAAGATTGTTTTGGTTTTTTCCCCTGTCCAAGTTAGCCAGTAGTTTACCACATAAGCAAACCAGAAATATCTCCTGTTTTGAGGTTAGAGGAAAAGAAGACTGCTGACCTGTTGGCATATGGTAGCTGTTCTTCCCAGATAGGTCTCCAGTAAGGATGGACTAATTAGCATGACAAATGTTCTGATATTGATTGTTTAGCTGTATGCCAGCCTCTTAAGCCTGATACAAGGGAGATGTCTGAATGCTACAAGCTCGTGCTCCTTGCAGACAAACAGGCAAATCCCCTTACAGCAGATGGTGAGTGCCTGAAATCCCACTGCCCTTCCCCATATCCTGCCTAGGTGTTCCATAGCAAGAAATACTGGAGATCACCTGTGGTTTACTCATTTGTAAGGGAGAGTTCCAGCAGACAGAGAAAATAGGAGGTACTGTCTGTTCCAGTATGAAAAAGATCACTTTATACTTGCTTTTTTGACTGTTTTTTGGGTGGTCTTAGCCACGACCACTGGCATGTGCAGACAGAGGAATATTTGCTTGTGCTTGTTCACCTCAGAACTTTTTGTTACTCAGGAAAGGTGCACACTGGATTTTTGTGGATTATCAGGACACCATTAGAGAAGAAGGCAGCCAGCACCTTGTCTCAGATAAGGCTCTCCCCTTTCATTAATAGCTTTTGCTCTGTGTATTGTCAGGTGAGCAGGCAGATCCCTGCAAGTTCCAGGCCTGCAACGAGTTCTCTGAGTGCTTGGTGAATCGCTGGAGTGGGGAAGCTGAGTGTGTCTGCAACCCTGGCTACCTCAGCATCGATGGGCTGCCCTGCAACAGCATCTGTGACCTGCAGCCAAACTTCTGCCTGAACGACGGCAAGTGTGACATCAGCCCTGGGCAAGGGGCCATCTGCAGGTAGGGCACCCTGCTGCTGGAAGTTGTGCTTCCTGGATGAAAACTCCCATTGTCCCCTATCTGTTGTAGCATTCTATAGGATTTGTCCAAAATTCTGTGCAATACTGTGTAACAAGTGAGTAGACTGTGATTATCATTCATGTTGTGCTGCTCAGTGCAAGTTGCAGTACTAACACTAGTTTTCCTATGTATATATCATAAATAAGACAGTAAGAAATTAATAGAACAGAAGCATCAGAAAATAAAACTAACAAGGGATAGAGGTTGTAATGGAACACATTCAGTTGTTCAAATCACTTTTATTGGCCTTTGGGGACAGAATTCACCTCCAGAGGTTTTCTCAAGTAGCAAAGTGTTTGATGGTGTCATGTCACCTATGAGAGTTAATTCCATAACTGAAATTTATATCTGAACATCAAATTGATAGTGCATAAATACATTAAATATACTGCTTTTGGTCTGGAAAAAAGCATAAAAGTAAATCATTGTACATTTGGGAAAAATCATGTGGGTTCATAAAAGGATGAAGGAACAGGCCCCAGATATTTGCTTAAAAAAAGATACAGGATTGCTATTTTGTGCAGGTAATCAAGAAAACTGTGCAAGATGCAGACAAGTTGGTGATGCCCCTGACACAGCACTTTACTTTTTACTTTTCAAACAATGTAATAGTCTATTTTTTAAAAACAAAGTGTGCCTATCAACAAAAATTAACAAAAACGATCACAAACAATAGTCTTACTTCTAGTAGTTATTTATGTTTCTTCATGTGATTTTGTTTTTAAAATTCACCTAGAACTTCTCTAAAGTCAATCTTAGACTGTTAACAGAAGAAATAAAAATGGTTTTAAAACTTTAAAATTGGATATTATCACAGACGCATCATACATTTAAACATTTGTGTGATAGTCTTAATGAGAAGCAGGTAAATATCTGAAACCAAGCCTGTTCCAGTTCTACCTTTGCAGTGATGATGTATCACATGCAAGGCTCAATTAGGGCAATTTTTCCTCAGTCTAAACACCTTCTCGTTTTAACACCTCACAGGGTACTGTAAATTTCAAAAAGCATAGATGATTTCCCCCACAAAAGCATACCCTTTTGCTATTTTTCCTACCTTCATTCAATTCTGTGATTGGGGTAGTTCATCCTGGAGAAGAGGAGGCTCCTGGGAGACCCTTTCTGTGGCTTTTCCATACTTAAAGGGGGCTTGAAAGAAAGGTGAGGAGGCCTTTGGCAGGGTCTGTTGTGATAGGGCAAGGCCTAATGATTTTAAACTAAAAAAAGGTAGATTCAGACTAAATATAAGGAAGACATTTTTTACAGTGGTGGTGATGAAACACTGAACTCGTTATCTAGAGAGATGGCAGATGCCCCTGGATTGGATGGGGCTCTGAGAAACCTGATCTAGTTGAAGATGTCCCTGCTCATTGCAGGGGACTAAATGACCTTTAAAGGTCTCTTTTAACTCAAACTGTTACATGATTATCTACCAAAAAGTATGTCCATAATAATAACAATAATAAAGAAAATTAGTGATTGGACAATGCAAAGATATTTATTTGGGATGATTTAACTGAGGGCACATCATAACAGGAACTTAAATACATTAACCAAAGCTTTTGCTGGTGTGTAATTTCCCTGTGTTTCTTTGTGGCAGGTGCCGTGTGGGAGAGAACTGGTGGTACAGAGGGGAGCACTGTGAGGAATATGTGTCTGAGCCACTGGTTGTGGGTATTGCCATTGCTTCTGTGGCAGGATTCCTTCTTGTGGCATCTGCTGTCATCTTCTTCTTGGCCAGAACCCTTCGAGATCAGTACACAAAGAGTGACACTGGGGACTCGCAGGGGTAGGTGACACCATCTAATATTTTAAACACACCGGCTACGATAAGGATAATTCTGTCCTAAGTCTTATATCACACAGTTTGCAAGCACCAGGACGTACAGGCACCTCCAAATGCCAGGCTTCCTTAGTCTGTCTGCTGCCCTGGCAGGCTGCAGAGAAGCTCACAGTGTGTTTATTGCTCCCCCAGGCAGGGTGACAGCCTCTCGTCCATTGAGAATGCAGTTAAATACAACCCCATGTATGAAAGTGACACGACTGGCTACAGCCATTATTACCGGAGATATCCGCAGCTCACGTCCTACAGTTCCACCAGTGCAGAGACATCCACAGACTACAGCAGTGAAGAGATCAGGCACATTTATGAAAACAGTGAGCTTACTAAGGAGGTAAATGACCTTGTTTTCATAGTGGCATGGGAAAGATCACGGAAACAGTAAGCTTATTCCACACTTCTAACCTCAGAGGTGGGCCCGATCTTTCCCCAGTGTCTATGCTCCATCCAGATAAACAGGTTGCAGCTGCTGCAACTATTTAAAAGAAGACAGAAAAGCTTGCTTTCCCTGCTTGCTTTCAGAGAAAGTTATGGTTTTGTTCTGTAATTCTGTAATGAATTTCACATAATAAAGGAGCTGATCCCTTAGGTAACTTCATGGGAGTTGGGGAGGTTCAATGTATTACTTGACACAACATTTACCTTTTTAACCCAACTCTTATGTAGGAGTAGTTGCACAGTGAAAAATTGGTACATCCAGGCCTTTTCACTGGATGCTTTTGTTTTTGGTGTCTTCTGATTGTTTTTAAAGTTTAAGTCTTTCTATAACCTGCAAGTTAGATCCCATCTTATTTCTTCCTGTATACACAGTATCCAAGTTTTACTCTAGAAGGCTAAAGAGAAGGGATTTACATCCCAGAGCTAACTACAGATCCTTAAGAAACTGTGAGAGGTGTGAATCCAGTATGTAGCTGGTAGGCTGATTGGTAGGCAAAGCATCTCTGAGAGATAAATGGTTTTGTGAAAGCCTGTTGAAATGTACACTCTGTCCACCCCTGGTTTTGATTTGAAAGTGAAGTCAAATGAAGTGCTTCACTTATATTTTTTTTTTCAATTGGAAAAATTATAATTAAATAAATAAAATAAAGAAGAATTTTAGCATTGGTGTGCCCAATTTCAAGCTCCACTCTTTGAAATAGTAATAGCAACACATAGGAGCTTTATTTCCCCAAACCCAGAAATCAGTTATTTCTGTAGCATTCCGATTTCTATTATGTACTTACAATTCTGTGTATTGTGTTCCAGGAGATTCAGGACAGAATTCGAATTATAGAGCTCTACGCTAAAGACCGCCAGTTTGCAGAGTTTGTTAGGCAGCATCAAATGTGAGTGAAATGTCTTGTCTGGATTACCAACTCCTTTGATGTTTTGTCCTGTGGCCTTTACCTTACTGTATTAAGGTTCTAGAAATGCTAGGACACTAGAGGCTAAGATTTCAACATTATTTTCGAAGAGGTTTAACCCTTTTACAGTATTTAATAATCCCAGAAGTCCCAGGGGGTAAAAAAAAAAAGGCAGTGAAGAGGAATCCCCGAGTTAATGAGTGTCAGAGCTCTGACATCAATTCAGGTCTGTGAAAGCACAGACAGAATCTTATTAATTCTTCTGGTGTAATTCTCATTGCCCAGTGCTTTGTTTAAAACCAGAAATTTTAAAAAGCCAAGACAAAAATGCTGATTTGTGTTGAGTTCTCGAGATTTGGCAACTGACCAGCGCCAGACAGATCATTGGTACAGGCCTGTCTGGTATGGTGGGCACCAGCTGTAGCAGAAACTTTACAATTCCAAACAATTAACCAATCTGAGCTGTGTGCTTTGATGAAAGCCAAGCACAAGGAAGGTCCTCAAAGACTGGATTGCTAGCATGAACAGTACTCCTGCTGTAGGAAGCAGCAAACCACAACTTGCTGGGTCACTTTGAACAATACTGGAGTATAGTTCCTTGGCATCCTAGTAAAAATATATACAGTAGCCAAATCTCATGTTCCCAGATCTTCAGCAATATTTTTTTTTAATTGAAAGGAACAGCAGTTCTCATTTTTCCATGTCAGTTGTTCATTTTTTCGTCTTGAAAAGGATCAGCATCTAGATTTTCCACAGCTGGAAAGCAGTAAGGGCTGCCTTGTATAAGCTTGAATCCAATGTTTGAAAGAGGTGAACTTAACCACTGCTTTTCTGTTTTTCATTTTAGGAAGCTGCTTTAAGAAAAAAAGACATTGATAGAATACACGTGGGAGATAAATGCTACCTTGCTGCCCCAGCAACAGGCTCAGATGTAACTGCAAAGTTACTCATAGACTTAACATGGCATGGATGGATACAGATGTTTTCTACATGAATGGCTAAAATGTACAGATGTTTGTCTCAATTTCTTCTGGCTTTTCCGTGTAAAATGACACTTTTAAGAGGTAATCAGAAGTGGCAGAGGTTATGAAAGTTCATTTTTCTTTGACTTCAAAATGGACATTGAAAGATTTTGTATACAAAGGCAAAAAAGAAAATCTCCTCGCATAAGACAAGATACCTGTACAACAGAAATAAAATGCATATTGAAAATCCCTGCCTGGCATTTTATCCCCTCACAGGAGCTTCCAGTGGAAATTCTATGGATATAAAACACTAGCAGAAGGAAATATTTGATTTGCAAAGGAATGAGTTGTAGGGGAGAACTATTGTGCTAGAGTTATGTTAGCATGATTTTAAAGCATTCACAAACAAAACCTCACTGGAAAAGCTTTTCTTCTGTACAGATGCCTGATGTACATTTTGCTAGCTGGCATTAGCAAAGCAGAGGATAGCACTGAGCCTGCAGCCCCCTGAGGGCTCTCCCTGGGATACAGGGAGCCTTGGCAGGCAGGACAGTGCTTCTGCAGCACACTGCAGTGTTTTTAAAGCCAGGATGGGTGGTTCTCCAGCTCATTCTGGCAGACACATAAGCTGGGGCACAAGAAGGGCTTCTATTGTAAAAATGTTCTGTGAAGCTTAAGTGGCTAACATTGATTTTTACGTTTGTTTTTTTTTGTATGTAGACATTTTGTTTCATATTTTGTAAGTTAAATGCATTATTTATCTGTTGTGTGTTTCCTTCCCAGCTTTTCATAATGGATTTAGTTGTTGAGATAGAAAGATAACTAGTTTTAATAATGAAATACTAAACTGGCATTTGTGCCCATTCTTTTATATCTATATTATATTTAGTGTTTACTCAGTGTTGAATTCAGCCAACTAATATTTGAAATTACTGAACTGGGCAGTAGCCTGCCATGAGCTCCCTTTCAAAATCAGGTACTTAAGTCCATGCACATTTGGTAGGTGTCAGCACTTTCCTGTGGGGAAGGGAAAATCTGAAATTACTCTTAGTTTTTTGGAAATCAGCATAGAATCTCTTAAACAGAAGAAGCCTAAAGCATTTTGAAATAGCTGAATTGAGAGGGGGACTTCCAAGTAAAGAAATGGAATTTTATCTTCAAGTGATGAAGAGAGTTCTGACTATATGTTAAGCTGTGTTGGGGCTCTGTTCAGTCCCCCAAGGTCTCTTGTTAAAATCATTAACACTGTCAGGGTTAAAAAGCTGTCAGGGTTAGGGCATCAATTACAACCACATTAGCTTGGGCTAGCAAAAAAAGGCCAATTGATTTATTTCTATAACATCTGTAGTTCTCGGCCCCCATGTGCCAACAGCCACCTGATACTTTCCAGAGTTAAGTGACAGTGAGAATTACATGATTTTCTTTAGGCAGCTTAGCCAAACAACAGAATATTTCAATGCAATTTTTCTCTGTGTCCTGGAGAACCTCACTGGATCACTTGTGTAGTACCTTCTTGCCTTGAGTGGCAGGGGATGGGTATCAGAGCCACATATCTGTCAGAGAAATGCTTATATAAACCACTGAAAGCCAAATAATGCCAGACAGCAGGAAATATTATGGTGCTGCTGAACACTGTGAGCAGATGTTATGAGACAGAGTTCTGCTGGCAGGCCCAGGGCCTGTCAGAGTCTGAGGCACAGCCCACTCCTCGTGGCCCTGAGCATCCCATAATGCCAGGGCCTGTGATCAGAGCAGAGAATTCCTGGGCTCAGGCTGGGCAGCAGCCTGGGACTTGTTTCTGTGCAGCTCAGCTGCCAGCCTGGGAGATTTGGTGCTGCTCCTGCTGGGTGCAGCTGGGATCACAGAGGTTTTCCAGGTGTTCTGCTGTGCACAAGCTGAGATGAGGCTTGGTTACACTGAGTGTGAGGTGTTTCAGTGAATATACAGTGATATTTTCTTTGTGTGTGTGTATACATATGAACATGATGGTATGTTTTCACTACAATAAAAAATTATTTCCAAAATATTTTCTCTATAACATTCATGTAGAGACTATGAGTTGATATGGAGAAGGTGTCTTAGCCATGAGCATTTGTGTGTGTGTAAGATCAGAAAATTGCTTTAACAGAGTTGGCTAAGCTGTTAAACTCCTTTGCTAACAAAAGTGCCAAATATAGTTCATTAGCATTTGCAAGGTTATAGACTGAAAATTCATGCTGGAAAGCACATAGCTGGGTGCTTTGCTTTCAGTTAAACTCTTTTGAAGATGTTTCATCTCTAATCAAAAAGCCAAGAACTTAATGAATAATTGACTTTCTTTGATACTTTCCTAATCCAAGGCAAAGATAAAGAATTCTAAATATCCTAACAAAGCAAACAAACAAACAAAAAAACCCCCAAAACAACAAAAAAGCCAAGCACAACCCAACCAGCTCTATGTACAAGTCTATCAATCTATTATCAGTGAACATGCATATTTTCACTAGATAAAAGTAATGACTTGAATGACTTGTCTTAATTTAAGAGCATGGAAAAAAGCAGGTATTGTTTACCAAATGCTGACAGGTCTATCAGCATCTGTGGCTCCCCTCAAGGCAGAAAACATGGGAGAAAATGAGGTCCCCCAGGATGCTACTAGCTGCCCCTTTAACAGAGGATCTCAAACACACAGAGCCCAGGCTGGATCTCTCAAGGCCTCATTTTTAAACCTCAAGGCATTAATCCACAGTGGCAGAATTCTACCAGGGCCAGGAATTCTAAGAGGAAACAAGTGTTCAGAGCTGCAAGTCTAGCACACAAGCCTGTCAGGAATCGTGCGCTTGTCCTGTATTTTCTTTTTCTCAGAACACAGAGCCTTTCCCAGCAAGAAGCTCAAAGATATCCAGTGACTGAGTCTCTATTCCATGAAACCCCAGACTGTGAGATTCCTGTACTGCTGGATAACAGTTTAGATCCAGAAATAAAGGCTTTTTCAGGTTCTCAGAGACAGCTGAAATGACACATTTCTCCTATCTCCTCCAAACCAAGGAAGTGCATGAATAAACTATTTAGGTTTTAAGAACTTACAGCTTAAATGTTAGAATGAAAAAAGCCTTTAATAATCAAGACTTTCATTCACCTTTCTCATCAGGCTTGCTGGAATTGGTCCTTATTCTAAAGGGCTGCAGGAGTATGAGAGGGCTTTGAGCCCTCTGCCCCATGGATTCTGTGAAGAGAGGCACACAAAGGTGCTAGAGCTCCAACACAGGGAGAGTCATCTCATCCTATAAAACACAAAACAAAAATATTCACCAATCCAAATTCATTTGTCTATCTGTAAGCATTGTAGGACAGACACAGACTGAGTCTATACAGCAGAGGAAATGGGTCAGGGCATTGTTGCCGTTTTAAATATTAGTAAAAAACTCACAGGGCTTTTGTGGTATTTGGTTTATTTGAAGAGTACACAACACCAACAGCATTTCTGTCTTATCTCTCTGCTCCTTGATCCACTTTGGGAACAGATGCATCTTCTTCTTATAACATTGATCCTTTTGCTTTGGTTTTGCAACTGGAAAAAAATTCCAAAGCTATTCCTGTGCCAGGATTTTTTTCATTTGTCAGACCAAGTGGGAAAGTTTTGGTTTTGCCATATTTACCACTAATTAGCTCTCCTACTCCAGATTATTAATGACCCCCAGGAATTTTTGCTGAGCTCCTGTCATCTTGGACTCCTGTTTGTGCTGCTACTCACCCTCCTCGCTGGGTCACCCAGCACACTGAGCAGTGCAGGCAGCTCTGCTTGGAGGATGGCAGCAGCTTGCAGAACTAAAATTGTCATCTTGCCTGAGGTGCTACAGCTGTTCTGAGCCTGTTCTTTTAGTTTTCCTGTGTTTCCAGTTAAACACAAAAGTAGATTTCACCTCTTTGTTGTTTCAGGATGAGAAATACCCTGAATACTAGAATTTTGTGAGACAGATACCAATTTATATTTTTTAAAAATCAATTCTACCATCAGCATATCTAAGGACTTTGTTTCTGTACTAAATATATAAGTTGGAGTGAACTATGCTTAAAGCCTGACCTTTTAGAAGGGGACACTATCCCAGCTCTCATTTATACAACTAAACCAACAAAATATGACTATCTGTCTTGAATCATTGGAGGTTTAGATGTTGTTTAAAAATCTATTGAGCACAAATTAGAGTTGATGTTAATTAGGCTTGCAATTGCATCTCCGCAGCTGATTACCAGATGGGGAAACCATGTCTTTCTGGAAAGGCTGACATACCTTGAACAGAAATTAAAATGGGAGCAGTACAGGATATGTCTGTACATCAAAACTTTATGTGGTAGCACAGGCTTGTGGCTGGATAAAAGAGCAAGTGAAGAGGTAGATTTTCAGAGGTGAGTTTACAAGCAATCTGAAGTGGGAAATATTTCCATTTTGAGGACATCCACTCAGCCCCACCTAAAGCTTACACAGTGATTATGTGGAATCTTCTCCCAGAAAGGGAGGGGGATGCAGAGCACTTCCAGCAGCAGCACAGGACTCATCTCCTGCCATGACCTACAGGCAACTGACTGCACTTTACTCCTTGTACATCCCATCATCTGCTCAGCAAGGCAGCGGCTTTTCTTCCCATCCCAGGTTTCACATGGAAAGATCAGAATGTTTTGATCCAAAAGAATGCTTTATACAACCCTCCAGTAAACCAGAGACTGCCGCACAGCTTTTTCTTTTTCCTTTTTTGCCCTTTTTAATTTATTATTTAAAGCTTCAATTAAAAAATTAAACCAGAACAACCAGAAACAACAACAACAATGACAACAAAAATCAACAAAACCTTCCCACACTTATTTTTATTGTCTGCCTTTTACCTGCACCTCTTAGGCAAACCCACAGTCATGGTGAGAAGGCAGTGTGGTCTACAGAACTCTTCCACATGGAATTCTCACTTTGCTCTTCTTC